CTCACACTTCATCACAACTTAGAATTTTTTTGGAACAAGCCAGGTAACAATTCCATTTGGTATCCTATTGTTCTGTTCAGGTTAGGTGGCATTCATTGTTGGAATAGTTGATGATTATATTATTTTCCAGTGAAATACAGGTGCTCTGCTTTACTGTGAGAACACGTGTGCAAACATTCAAAACCCTAAGTAAAACCTAGCATAAATATTAAAGGACACTTTAGTTTTTCTTTCAAAAGCTTGTGATTTTAAAAGAGGTAAGATTTATAGTGGTCTGTTAAATACATCCAAGTGTTCAAGTAATATTAAGCAGTGGGTATTACTGTGTTAACTCTTTAGTCATATTTGGCCTAGTGTTCTGCTGTGACACGTCTTGAACATTGACAGTGACATTCAGTTTACTGCTTTCTGAGAGCAGCTACTGAAATTTAGTTACTTTAGGAGGAGCTTCCAAAACTCACGCTTTGAGAGTACAATCCATTCATCACTGCTGTTAGTTCAGCCTGACTTCAAGCTGTGAAAATTATATAAATGTCCTGACTGCTATCACTTGTGATGTCAAGGAGCACATGGGTATAGATAAGTAAATATTAACTACTTAGCTTTCATCTGAAGTTGCCCAGAGCAGAATCATTAAACTGTAAGTCATGAAACATCACTTAGAAATTTTATTCTGGTGGTTACACCATCAGAATTTTCTTATGGTGTACATGATAAAATATCAGCAGAGTTAATTGATGAGAGAAGAGCATGTAAGGTGACTTCAAATTAGACCATAACAAAAGCAGGGTAAGGCAAAGGAATCTGGTTTTTGTTCTCTTTATTAAATTTCGTTTTACTTCATGCAGATCTTCCACCTGGGTACAGCTGACTTTGTCTGGTGTCATTCAGGTGTTTGTGCCATGCCCCTCAGAACTCCTGGGTGACCAGGAGGTGTCCTTTCTTTGAGCCAGGGTATGCCCACTCGCTCGCTCCCTTGGGCTTGGAGCCTCACTTCTCATATTTTCATATCTCATCCATTTCCTGCTTAACAGGAGAAGCTCTTAGCTTATATCACCGTGGCTTTTCAATATCCCCTTAAAATCATTGCAAGGAGAAGCTTCCATCTGGGCACTGGCAGGTCCTTCATTGTAGTGCTGCCAGTGCCTTTGAAGTCCTGCTGATGTCCTGCTAGCCGACCTGGAAATTGCTTCCTTTTGATGATCTGTAGCAGAGCTTTTAACCTCCTCTTAGGGGGTGATTTCCTGCTTGCTTACAGCGTTGAGACTGGGAGCAGGGAACAAACACAGGCAGCTTGAATACTTCAGATTTTTCCCCCAGATTGCAGGGAGCAGGAAAATGCAAGGCTGTTATGTTTGGTGGGATCTAAAAATAGCTATAGTTGACTCCACCCCTCTATGAATTGCTTCCAGGAACATACTGAGCTGGTGAGCTATTGAATGTGAAGTGTATTTAATAGATGTGCAGCCTATTTCCTACCATCTTTCAGTTTTTTCCTGTGCCTTTAAGTGGTTTAAATTTGTCTTTTTTTTTTTTTGCATGCACTTTTGTGAAATAAGCCTTTCATTTTGGTGTGAAATGATTTAATGTGGGATGAAATTCTGTTTCAGAGAAATCCAAACAATTTGACTTACGTGATTACATCTTCCAGCACTCAGAACAGTTGTATTTAATAATGGAAAAGTCAATAACCTCACAAGTGTATTGGCAAAGTAATTCTGCTTTCTTAGAGGACTTTGTTTTGATCATGCGTTTCTCCTGAACCTTGAGAATTGTCTTAAAAGCATTGCTTGAACGTTGCCACAACTGATTTTACAGCACTCAACATCTGTCATGGTTAAAATGGCTGACCAGCTATTAGCATTTAACAGCTTTTATGTGATATACGAGCTGTCTTACTGGTTAGGTAGCAATGATATCAGTAAACTGTTAACTTTTACATGAAGGTACACGGAACTGTGAGCTTTCCATCTAAAAGGGCCTATGAGTCAGAAGGGCTAATTTGCACTTCTATGACACCTATTTTAGCAGTCAGTGCATTTCTTGAAGTTTGAAGGCTGTAGACTAGTAAAGAAGAAAGCTCCTTCAGGAAAAAGGATCTTCAGTATATTCTGAGATTTAAACATGTCACTCTGTAAGCTCCTGTAAGGGCTCATTTGGCAATGATTTCTGCCTCTGATAAAATATTCCTGCATTTCTCCTGCTAGACAACCAGTTTTGTATTTTCCAGAAGTCAGGACTTAGTTCATTAGCATCTTGGTATCTGTGCTTTTGTGGGAGAAATGGTGCAGGTTTCTTTTGTGCATCTTTGCCGAGGCGCTGATGTTGATTGTTTGACCATTAACCAAATGGCTTTACAGTCTGCTATTGATAGTGCATTTGCAACTTTCCTCTCTCGCCTTTTGTTAAATATTTCACACATACAAGTGGCAAATACTGAAATTTAACATGCACATTTTTCCAAGCATAATGTGAAATAAAATAGTATGTAATGTTAAATACGAATATGTATGCATATGTAAATATATATAAGATCGTATATAATCTTAAAGCAAGACCGTTGTTAAAAAATGTACTTTTAAAAGAACATATTGTGGGGTTTCACGGTCTCTGACATTCTATGCTAGCCTCTCATTATCTCAGTACAATGATCTCAGTGAAGTTTCTTTTATGAGGCTAAATTTTGTATATTAATATGCATTTCTTGGCTTTAACTTTTGCATCTCAATAAAATTCTGAGATATATTCACCAAAAGTAATGGAATGAATGTCTTAAAATTCAGTGATAGTCCTGTAACCTCATGATGACTTAACTTTTAGAGAATACACTGTATTATCAATACAGAAGCCACAGTTTTATTCAGGTAACAAGGCTTTTCCTTTTTGACTCTTCCCTTGTAGTAAGAAATTTGATAGAGCATGGCATGTAGAGGCAGGGTGGCACCTTTCTCTCTGTATAAGCTCAAGGGATGATGTTTGTATTCCTGTAGGACTCCAGAAGGGTCTGTGCTGCTGAGGAGAGTCACTTTGATGTTATGATTTTGTTCTGCTATGTAAATAGGTTCATGTGTTTATTATGGAGCCTGATCCTGTTAGTTGTAAAACAAATATGAGGTACAAGACCAATTTTTTTCAGAAGACTTCAAATTCCAAATGTTGTAACCATGCATACTGACTCCTGAAATGGGGAGAAAAATTAAGTTCCAGCAAGTAAGAAAGAAAAAAAAAAAAAAAAAAAAAAAAAAGCCGGGCAGATTTTCTTCAGTGTGACTGAGAATATCCAGGGTGGGTAGTTAAGTGTGTTGGTGCTGTTGAACACAGCTCCCCTCTCTCTGAGCCGGGTTGAGTCATGCAGGCCAGAAGAGATTGGCCTTTGTTTGGGGCAGCAGCTCAGCCCTGCAGCTGCTGCAGGGGCTGCAACGGGGCTGGCAGGCTGGGACCCGGGTACTGGCACTGTGACACGGCATGGGGCACTGCCTGTATGCTCTCTGACAGGGGATGGGACACTGCCTGTGTGCTCTCTGACAGGGCATGGGACACTGCCTGTGTGCTCTCTGACAGGGGATGGGGCACTGCCTGTGTGCTCTCTGACAGGGCATGGACACTGCCTGTGTGCTCTCTGACAGGGCATGGACACTGCCTGTGTGCTCTCTGACAGGGGATGGACACTGCCTGTGTGCTCTCTGACAGGGCATGGACACTGCCTGTGTGCTGACAGGGAATGGGACACTGCCTGTGTGCTCTCTGACAGGGGATGGACACTGCCTGTGTGCTCTCTGACAGGGCATGGGACACTGCCTGTGTGCTCTCTGACAGGGGATGGACACTGCCTGTTGTGCTCTCTGACAGGGGATGGACACTGCCTGTGTGCTCTCTGACAGGGAATGGGACACTGCCTGTGTGCTCTCTGACAGGGAATGGGACACTGCCTGTGTGCTCTCTGACAGGGCATGGACACTGCCTGTGTGCTCTCTGACAGGGGATGGGACACTGCCTGTGTGCTCTCTGACAGGGCATGGACACTGCCTGTGTGCTCTCTGACAGGGGATGGGACACTGCCTGTGTGCTCTCTGACAGGGGATGGACACTGCCTGTGTGCTCTCTGACAGGGCATGGACACTGCCTGTGTGCTCTCTGACAGGGGATGGGACACTGCCTGTGTGCTCTCTGACAGGGCATGGGACACTGCCTGTGTGCTCTCTGACAGGGCATGGACACTGCCTGTGTGCTCTCTGACAGGGGATGGGACACTGCCTGTGTGCTCTCTGACAGGGCATGGACACTGCCTGTGTGCTCTCTGACAGGGGATGGGACACTGCCTGTGTGCTCTCTCTGGCAGGGATGGGACCTTTTTGCTGCCTTTGTGTGAGGTGTGAGGCTGTGGGGTGTCAGGTCCTTTAAGCTGGGTGAGGGACATGGTGACCCACTGTAAGGTAATAAATAGAGCATGAAGCCAGAAAGGCTGAGGACGTAGCTCAGACCAACTGTGCCTTCTATTCTTACTAGGTAGTGTGGTTAAAGGGAGAAGGACACCTTTGGTGTAAATGCAATACTATTCTCAAAAGTACTAATTTAGTTTTTTACCAGAATCAGAATGGTGTTGCTTCTCCTTCTTCTCTTTCTCCATCCCTCCACATACAACAGTTTAATTTATCCTTACCACAGCAAGTCTAGCTGACAAGGAACAACTGGATTATTTGCAATAACTTTAAACTAGAGATTTGTTCACTGCTGTCCCTAGAGGCCTAAAATGCTGTTTCTCTGCCTTTTAAAATCCTATTAGTCTTACTTTCTCCATAATTATGAGGGTGATCATATTTCTTTTCCTCTCATTAAGTCACAGGCTCTCTGGATTTATTGGTTAATTTCCAGACCAGTAATTTCTTCTGTAAAAACAAATCCTGCTACTTCTAGTTTGAGTGATTATAGCAGACAGGGTTTTGAGCTATATAAATAAAGTCAAATATTACTAAAGCTTTGCTTTCACATTAAATTTTAAGGGTGAAGGACTAAGGAAGGACTAATTAAGGTGGATTTTGCATTTGCAGACTGACTGAAGTAAGTGTTCATCTAATGGATATTGTGATGCTTTTAATGTAGTAACACGATAACTAAATAAATAATGCACTTTTCTTTTTGTTGGTCTGTTATTAGGATCCATACTATAGATTTAATGATGTGATGTACAGATGGATCTCACTAGATAACTGGACTTACAGCAGGACGTTCAAAACTCCTTTTGACATCAGGTATGCAGTAAAGATATGTCTAAAATAGTTCTGTGCCATCTTTCATGCAGAATTGCAAGTTAATCCATCCACTCAAAATCTGCTTAATACTTTTGTATCTGATAAATTATGCAATCATGTGCAGCTGTAAAGCTGTTGCTTCAGAACACTTCAGTTGTTGCTTTTTTCTTTTTTTTTAATTGATTGTTAAAAATTACTTATGAATTGTCAGCTGAAAAAAGATAGTACTTAATCTAACTGAAAGCTATCCCATCTAATATCTGGTGGGTATGTGAACCTGATGTGTTCTTGAACATGCTGACTTGAGCTACTTCAGCTGTCATCTTAGTTTGACTATTTAAAGGTACAGTGTAGCTACACTGAGTCAAAAGTAGCTGAAGCAACTGCTGGTATAATAGTGATACACATTTTTACATTGTCTGTGCCCTGTGTGTTTTTAACTCTAGGTACTCTGACAGTTTTTTGCATGTATGTTTTCTGTTGTAGAAAGTGGCAGAAAGTGAATTTGGTTTTTGAGGGAGTAGATACAGTAGCACAGATCCTGCTCAACAATGTCACTCTCGGGAGAACAGACAATATGTTCAACAGATATGTAAGTAATGTGTTTGTTTCTGTTTATTTCTGCTTCTGTGCTTTCTTCAAAGCCCTTTTGTTCTGAGCACTTCTAGTGCATTCACCTACCCATAAAAGTAGGTGCTTGGATGCAGAAAGTGTTGACTTGAGGACTGCGTGTGTAATCAGGTAAATGTTAGGAAGGGAAGTGTACTTACCTTTTCACTAGCAACTGGGTCATATCTAGAGGTGAATGTGCCTTGTCCTAAATGAGAGGACCAATGCAAGAGGATCAATCAGCTAATAATATAATATATCTTGCTTCTTGGGATCTGTCCCAGCTTCAAGAAAACGTAATATTAAATCTGTTTTATTAGCTGTAAATCTGCTTACTAATTGGTATTAGAATGGTTTACATGTCAATACTGCAATGAAAATGCACGTGCTGTAAAGCCTGTGTATATGTTTCATGCTTTTGGTTTTTAAAGAGGGTGGTTTATTTTTAATATGGTACTTTGGGTAACATTGTCTTGCATTTTTGAGCTTTGCTTATGTCAGCATGAGAGTATTCATTATGGAATGATCTTGAGAGTGGCAAAAACATTCAAACTAATTTTATAGCTTTAAAATACAAAATTATTCTGATATTAACACAAGGAGCAATTCTTGCTTTTATCTTAATCAAAAAATCTGAAGAGTTAAAGGAAGATTGATAGTGGAATAACTGAATTACAAATGAAATCTGGTGTCTCCATATCTCAGCATTTACCATTCTGGCAGTTTTTATTGCAGAAGCACTGGACTGAGACATAAGACATTCTGCCACCTGGGTCTGTGTAACCTAGGACAAACCACTTAGTTTCTCTTTGACTTACTTTTACCATCAGTGAAATCAAAAATTTCATAGAGTTTTTATGAAATTGTAATTATTTACTGTTTGGAGAGTATCTAAAGGCTTGTCAGTAGCAGGCTCTGAAAGTCAGAAAAGTGGTATTATTGTGTCCATATTTCTGCAACTTCATTTTGTATCAGATTGTAAGAATTCATAAAATGGCCTTCACTGTAAAACCAGCATATACTGCATTAAATTGAGTCCGGGGTTACGGTGACCCAGGCTTGTGCCTTGTTCACCTGTTCCACATGGCAACAACATCTGCAGGAAGGACTCTCTGAAGGCTCTGGTTTGGGGAATGCTGTTTGCTTTCTAATATCCTGCTGTATGCTACAGGAATAAGTGATTCTAGCTGGGCTGCTCCCAAATTAAAGAAAAATGGCCAAGACTTGGCTTTTCACAAATGTGCACTCTGAGGAATAAATGGGTATTAGCCATTGGAACCACATTGTCGTGATAGCACAGGATAATTCTGAAATGGAACATTTCTTCTGTTCTCCAGCCACACTGAAGGGGATTTTGTGACCTGGTGAGGAAGCCTCCAAATGCTTCATTTGGTGCTGATGTAGAATGTGTGTCTTACATTTGGGGGATTAGAATGCAACTCATTTCATTTGGGGAATGAACTACAGCTTTACAGCATTCATGGACTAGGCAGGTCAGTGCCTTGTGGTGGATGAGCTGGCAGCACAGTGTGAGCTGGAAGCATTCTTGTATGGAGCAGCTCTCTGAGTTGGAATAAGGTGTCTTTCCAAAGATGCAGATGGGTTCTGGATGAGGAATGAGGGTAAAGATTCTCTTGCTGTCGTTGTCCTTCAAGTACTTCTCTGTGCAAGCAAAGTGCTGCAGCCTGCAATGAGAGCTTGATGTGAAGAAAGCGGTTTGCCCAGAAACATCTTTTCTTTCAAAACCAGAGCACGCTGAGACTGTATTTCAAAAGCTTTAGAATAATATATATATGGTATTAAAATCCCCATGTAATAGTGATTATAAATCTCATAGATAAATGTCAGCATTGTAATGGTTTTGTTCTGTGTTTTGTCCTAGAGCTTTGATATTAGCAGTGTGATCCAGGAGGTCAATTGCGTTGAGGTCCGTTTCTTGTCAGCCGTTTCATATGCAGCGGAGCAGAGCAGATGTCACAAAGCACACAGCATCCCCCCGGCGTGCCCTCCACCTGTACAGAAAGGAGAGTGCCATGTTAATTTCATCAGAAAGGTAGGGGCAGAATTGTCTGTCTCTGACTTCAGTCTGGGAAAGAGGAATGCACCACAAGCTGTCCTTACAGTTGTATTCTGAAACCTGCAATATTGTTTTATAAGCAGGGCATATTTTTCATTGCTTCCTTCTCCCACCCCCCCCAGAAACCTGTACTTTTGTATGTTGACAATACAGGAGGCGTGAGAAGGCCAGGCTTCATATCTAAGTGATAAGAATGTTTAAAAGGCTGTTTTCATCAAAGAGTCAGCAAGGAGACTTGCTGCTAAGAGGGCAGGATAGCATTGGGAAATGTGTAGTCATTCCATTTTGATCCACTGGGTGGGTTTAGCAATGTATGCTGACAATAGAGTTCACTGTTGCAAATACTAGTATGTTATAGCCAAGGCTGTAAAAATCTCATCCAAGCAGCTTTTTGAGTGTTTGCTGTTGCTCATGTGCTGTGCTGTTTATCCTGGGCAGCTCTGGCACGTCCCAAGAAGTGTTATCTAACAGGGAACCTGTTCTCTTCTTATTAGTGTTGTCAAGTGTGACTTATATGTACATATTCAATGGAAACAACAGTGTATTATAAATGAATGAGACTTAGAAACTTTGATTTAAAATATGGCTTCTTTGTGTTAAAACAACTCAGGGCAAACTATCATTTGAGTAGCATCTCTTGTATTTCTGATAGCTTTGCAGCAGACAGAGGCAATGTCTAGATGATCATATTTTCTAATTTCTCTTTTTGGGTGTTTTTGCATATTTGTTTCCTCTTAAATGCCTTTCTTGATAATTATTTTCAGACTTTCTAATAAAGTCCTTCTAGAGTCTCCTCAAAAATGACTAGGATTCTGTAAATCTGGTATTTAAACTTGGATATAATTTCCTTTAAAATTTATTAATGTAAACATGGACTCCATGTTGTCCTGGAAAGATCCTTTAGGATTAAGATGCTGTCTTTATTTCTGCTTGCTGCTACTTTAATTTTCTCTACATTTTAGAAAATTTAATAGTTCTTCTGAGTCCACTGTGTTTCTCCGAAATCAGTGCAAGGAGAGGCTTGGAAGGAATAGTGCACTTACACAACTGTAGTCTTATTTATAGAGCAAAAGAGACCTGGAATGATTTTATGCCGCACTGAACTATACCTTTAAATTTGTTAGAAAGTACCCTAGTGCTTTTTCCTCAAATGAATTTTTGACTGTACTTGGAATGCAAAATGTTTCTGGAAATTTCTGGAGCAATTTCCAAGTATTGGCAACCACAGCAGCTATGTCACATCTGAAACTAAACAAACATACCAGGGCATTGCTATAAGCTGGTTGCTTCCCATCTGAAAGTAATGGAGAGCTATTTACACATTTCAGGTGCAGTATTAAGTGCAGTAACCTTATCTAAATCTGAGTAGGAATTTGTGGCAGAACACAAACCTGTCACTGCTAACGTACCCCAGTGATACAGGCATATTGTTCTTGTGATGTACTGTTTTTGATAGCAGTCTCTGCAGTGTTTTTAGTGAAACCTGTCAGTGATTCATTTGTTTATTTTTTATAATGCGAAAATTATTTCCAATTGGACATGTTTTCTAAGAATATGTTATCCCTGGTTTTCTGTTTGAAGTAGGTGCAGTGTTTGCTTCCTGGAAGGCTCTTTTGCAGTTTGATAGACAGGGAGGCTGACTGGCAACACAAGGGATAGGCCAGGCTTGTGCAATGTTGTTTGCCCAAATTAGTATGCCTTGGCTGTAAGTTATTAGTCTCTAAATTTAGAACTGTGTGTCACTGTACAAGACTTTAGGAGATCTATTGTATTTGCTTTGGGGGCTGGGGCTGTGTGAAACTTGGAGGGCAGCTGAATAGATGTTGTCAAGGGATTTGTTAAGTAGAGGTCTGACCAGGTTTGAAAACAGCTAAATGGAAATTAGTGTATGTACTTCTCTGCCTGACCAGCATTTTATAATTCTGACAGTTATTCTGATGTTAGTACCAGAACTAAGCTACTTCTCAACCATGTTTTTGTTCCCTTTGTTTTTGTATAAGAGAACTATAAAAAGGGGAGAAACAGTGAACATGACTGAACTACACAAATACTCCAGACATATCCATTTCTTTCCTTGTATTACTCTGTGGTGTTAAAACTAAAAATAGGAGATAAACTATTTCATGTATGGTTTTTAATTTGATACTTTTCTTGTAGAATACTGTAACATTTCTAATTGTCAGTTTTCTGCTTAGTTAGTCTTTTAGGTATACAATTAAATACTGACATTACAAACTAAGATAATTCACAGCTGAATTGAGAATAATCTCCTGGATTGTTTTTTTCTTTATCTTTACTGTTTGGGGTTTTGTTGGTGTTTTTTTAGTGATGTGCTAAGTGTTGTTTTACTCTTTTGGTAATACAAACTTTCTCCATACTTGGACATTTAATACAAAATTTACTTTTTTGTATAATACAGGTAGTAGCAGCAAAGTTCTGGTTGTGAAGTAAGAAAAAAATACCGTAGGGTCTTCTGGATTTATGGAAACCGGAAAAATTCTTTCAGTGCATGTCAGTATTTTATTCCCAGATAGCAAATGTCTTTTATTTCTGGCAAGGCATCAATGTCTATGTGAAAAACAGGCATTTGTAACATAATCATTCTGTTTTCCAGGAGCAATGCTCATTTAGTTGGGATTGGGGCCCTTCTTTTCCCACTCAAGGAATCTGGAAAGATGTTAGGATTGAGGCCTATAACCATTATCATCTGATTTATTTTTCTATAACTCCTCTCTTTGGTAAGTCTCTTATTTCGTCTTGTTATTGGTTTCACCTTTAGAATACAAACATTTTATTGGTAAGCCAAATTAACTGTCAGGTAGGAAATGTTCTATGGGTTTTTTATGACTTTGAATGTAGTTCTTTCCAGAGCACACCTTTATTGGGTATTGAAACAGTACTTCAATACAAACAATAACTGTTAAAAGTGTTAGAATTCAGAACTTTTTTTTGCTTAAAATCCCTGAATAACTGCAGAAATAAATGTAGTATAATTGAGATTAGCACCTGTTCTTTGATTTTGAAAAATTTCCTTTCTAATGGCATGTGTTTTCACCAAGACTCCCTGTAAATATGTCTCACTTTCATCTCACTTTCATTTCAAACAAAGGCAAAGCTGCTATGGGAATTTGGTTTTGTGTTGGAAGGACAAATGCAAAGTGAGCAGAGTTCGAAGAGTGCCTAGTTTTCAGGGCACAACATGAACTCTGAGAGAAAAAAGCAAGTTGTGCTATGCAAGGATAATTGTTAAAGCTGCAATTGGAGAGGATAACCTCCTGCATTCTTGTACCTAACTTACCAAACCGGTTTCCTCTCTTGCAGTGGTCTCTGATTTTCCTCTCCTTTGTCCTGAAGATCATTGCAGCTGTGCAAAAGTAGTCAATTTTCCCTTGAAACTTTCTGCAAATGGTGATATTCCCGGTTGTAGACCACCCACATGCTTATTTTCACTGCCTGTTGACCCAGAGGAGTATAGGCTAGCACGTGGGTCCTCTGCAGTGGGGTGAATTTTGGCTCTTGGGACTAAATTTGTTGTGTATGAATGAAAGAGGAAGACATCACTCCATGGCTGCTTTTAAAGAGTCCTGAAATAGCTGCAGGTCCTAAATAGAATTGACGTGACTGGAATTTCCATGGAAAGCCCCAGCACAGACTGCTTTCTGAAATTTAGTTACAGTAAAAATCTTTTCTGGTCCCTCCCACATTCCCACAACTCCACCTTCTGGTAGGTAAAGTCTTGCTCTCTGGGTAAGTGGAGAGAGCAAGCCTCTTTCCTTCAGCAGAGAGTGGCTTGGGACCAGAGCAAGAGCTTATTAGTATTCAAACATAATAACATTTGAAAAAGGAAGAGTAAATGAACAACCTGAATTTAAGCTGCATATGTACTTTTATTGTTCATCAAATTTAGTGTCATAGCCTTTTGACCACTGAGTCTGTGAAAGATTCATTGTTCTTGGTTTCTCTGTCTAGACCCCACAGTTCAGGCAGTTAGGAGTGGGTTGGAATTTCTATATGCTTTTGTAAGGGAGGAAGAATGCACTGTAATATCTGACCTTTGTAGGGTAGGTACTTTTAAACCTTTTCCACATTTCAGAGAATTGGTCTTCACTGGGTAATGCTGGGTGTAATATAAACTTGGGAACTCAATCATTGCTCTTCATTCTGTGAAAAACAGTGAAAATCACACCAGGGCTGAATGCAATTCTTTGTTTTTTGGAGTGAGCTCTCTTTCTCTTGTGAATCAAGGAGAGCTAGACTATATAAATGAAAAGAGAAAGCAAGTTATTAGTAATTTGGGCATACAAAATGTGTCTTAGTTCTAGTTCTCCTTCTTTTCTGTTTTGTTTGCTTTTGCTTATATGTTAATCTGCAATATTTGAAGTATAGGATTAGCCAGGCTGTGTTAGTAGCTAGGCAATTCAACTGCTGAAGTTAGTGGGAAATTTACACATAGATCTTGAGTACCCTTGACCCTGGCTCTCCTTATTCAGTAAGGTCTGTAAAAGAGAGGATGCTCTGTGGTAACTTCAGTGAGCTCTCAGGGAAGTCATTAACTTGTTTCTTTCACGACACATGGGTGGGAGAAGGGACATAAAGATATAGCCTGTCAAGTCTAGACACAGTGGGCCCAATTCATCCCCAGTGTAGCTCCATTCATTTTGTCCAGTGAGTCTGGGATGAATTCAGCTCGTTTTCTGTTAATACTGTTTTTGTTTCATTGACAAAAGTGATTGTAGTGGCTTGTGATTACAATCTTTCCCAAAGAGTACCATGTTCATATGAGTGCTGACTAAAAGCAAATACAATGTCTATGGGAGTTGGTGGGAAAAAATTCCTTCCTAATGAAGTGACTGGTGTCAAGGTCCCTGACTTTTGTACAGAGCTCTGAAAAAAAGCCTGGATGGCTTTTGAAATAAAAAAAGAGTTAAAAAACATAAATCATATTGCATTGTTCTGTTCCATTGGACTCATATGCCAAACACACTAAATAAGCAGATTAACCATGTAGGTTGGTTCAGACACAGCCTGAAAATTGTCAAATTTAATCTTAGTTTTTGAATTTTTTCTTCAATGAAAGATCATGTTAACTAATTGGTATATAAACATAATTCTTAAATTCCCATATTTTTCTCCCTCTTCACTTAGAAAAGAGTGCTCAGCAGTGGTGTCTTGAAGTCGAGTCTATTTTTGATGTAGTCAGCTCCAAGCCAATTGCAGGTCTTGTGACTGTGAACATTCCCAAGTTACAAACGCAGCAAACGTTCAATGTGAAGCTTCAACCTGGAGAAGGCAGCATTGTGCTGCTTGTAAACATCAACAAGGTAAAGAGGTGTGTGTGTGGAGAGCTAGTTCAGCTGCAAAATGTTTCCCCTGGTTTCCAGTGTGACTTTCTGCCTCCATGCCAGTTTTAGGCCTCCTTCCCATTCCTTAGTGTCTTCCTGACTTTTAACAACAGTTCTGTATCCCCTACAGGGTAGGAGAACAGTTCTTTTCCTTTCTAAAATCTGATGTCTGTGAAGCTATGTAGCTCACTGCCAAAAGGTGATGAAGCCTTAGAAAAAGGTCACATAATCACTGGCCACTGTTAAATGACCTTTTTTGGGTTATTTAGGTAAATAACCTTTGGGTACCCTGTGTCACTTCACTTCACTGGCAGCAGGTATCTCACATGCTATTGTTTACTGGACTGGTTGGGACCAGAATATACTACAATACATAGGATTCTCCCAGGTGAGAGAGGAAGCATTCCTCAAGCCTCTCAGTAGATATTCATTTACTTTCAGGTAAATAAAAAGAAAATTTTGTGGAGTAATACTCCTTACATTCGCTTATAGTCCTTTCGATAGGCAAATCTCAGGAGGAATTTTTGACTGGTAGAAGGTGCCCTTATGAGGAGCAAACTCAATTAAAAAATCAGGCTCCAGCCAGTGGGCAGAGTGGGAGCCTTGGCAGGTGCAGCAGGAGCCACACCTGATGAAGTTCTCCACGGGAGCTTCACTGCTGCAGGACACACATTTGTGGGTGGGTGATGTGCTATAAGCAGGAATTTGGGGCTTTTGACAATACTGGCAGTTAATAGCACTAAAGGGTCTGCCCTCAAGCTCTTCTATATTTTACTGGCTCTGCTGTTTTTCTGCACTGCTGTGTAATGCTGCATCTGTTTTGCCAGTTTGACTGCATTGTCTGTGTATTCTTGAGTTCACTTGTCAGCTGTTTGCATGGAGAGAAAGCAAGCAGGGTGTTTATGTTCCAGTGTGCACACTCTGTGACTTGTGTGCTTATGTGTTTTGTTTTATTTTGACACAGAAGCATAGAAACATGCAGGTTTTTTTTACTGTTGTCATCTGATATGCAAGTTACATGAGCAATTACCAATACCCAGTTTCATTTAAGGCAACCATGAGTCTCTGCTTAGCCTTTTTAATGGATTACATTAAACAGGCACTGCAAAGTGAAACTTCAAAAATTATTTTTGCCTATTTAGTTGTCCCAGCCTCAGAAGAAATCTGTTAGTGTAGTGCAATTGCAAGTCTGGAAGGAAGCACTTCCTTCAGAGCAGAGGCAGCAGTGTTTCATTATTCTTTGTGCACAAAAGGCTTTGCTGCATGAATTCACATCAGCTGATTTTATGAGAAGCCCCGAAATGTGTTCTCATGTATTTATTGATGAGGCTAACAGAGCACTTACTCTGTACACAGACTTGTGTGGTGCATGTTAGATACTGAGACCTCACCAGAAATGTATTTTTACTTAAGAGCTTATTGCAGATTACGTTGTGGAGTCAGTAGGTGTTCGAGTGGTGCATATCGCAGAGATGTGTATCAGCCTTCCTGCGGTCGCCGCCGCACAGAGTGCTGTGCTGCCAACGTGACAGCATTTTGCTTATCAGCTAGTGGTGAGCACAGGGGTGACATCATTAGTGGCCAATGAGACATCCAGTCGTTCCAGGCAGCTGTGAACACCCCCTTGTTGTCGAGGCTCTCGCTGACTCTGTGCTTCCGTTTGTATCCATGCAGCACAGAGATCAGAACTTCCTCACCAGCAGTTGTGAGAATTCTCTATCAGAGAAGCTGAAAGATATATTCATGATATATTCGTGGTTGTGTCCAAGTATAGCCACAGCAAAACATATTGCTGGGCTGCTTTCTGGCCTCAATTTGTTTGAAAAGATTGAGATACTCCTTGCATGACTAAATTCAGTGCTGATCCCTCCATTGTTTGGTTGCATGCATTATTGATTTCTTTCCACAATTTTTGTGTTATGCACGCAACTGGCAAATGCTGGCAACAGGAATGAGCGGCAGAAGAAGGCTGCTAGAGTGAAGATAAATATTCTGTCATCTTGAAATACAATCTCTTGGAGATTTGAAACATTAGGGAACATATAGAGACAAAGCAAAAAATTACTGAATGAATGAAAGAATTTGACTTAAAAGCTTGACATAAGTGAAGCAGTCATTATGGTCATATAATACCAGAATCACAGTTGGAAAGTGTTACTGCTGTATATTGAATATTGCATGGGATAGGTAAAAGGACCAATGAGAGGAGGTGTATGATATAGAGCTCAGTGAACAATGGCTGCTCCTGACACAGATATTTGGGGTTTGGAGGAATAGTGTGTCAGTGTACCTCAGCTGAGGAATGCTAGATGTGTGCCTGCGTGTCCAGGTGTGCTCATAGCCTGTTGTGAACACAAAATGAAGTGATAGCCTGGACTTGAGCAGAAGAAATCACACAATCACACTTCTCTCTTTAAATGATTTTTACCTTAGAGCTGCAGCTGGAGAGAATGTTAGCGTGTCTCAGCTGAAGCACAAAACCTCGTTAGGCTTGTGGTAATTCACTCAAAGATATCTGAGCCCAGGTGCATTTGATACCTCTTGTTATACATATTGCTCAGGCTTTTTTCTCCCTTGTGTGTTCAAGAGTGCTGCATTGGAGGCTTGGTGGCCAAATGGACATGGAAAGCAAACTGGATACAACATGACAACAACTTTCATGATGGAGGCAGGATGTCAGATTGAGAAGTTTTCAAAGGTGAGCCCTGAAGTTTAATTATATCTGGCATTGCACTGTTGATGTTAGGACATCTGCTCTGCATAACAAGTGTCTAGAGCTCTTAAAAGTTTTGCTAAGTTGTAATATGCATGTAAAAATGCTAATGAGAAATGAGTTTTTTTTAATGTCACAGTGTGTGGCTACCTCTTTTCTGGTAGTCTCACCTTGTGTGGATGCATTTACTTGTGGCTGCAAGATGGTTTACAGTTAAGAAGAAACCTCAGAAGAGAAAACATGTTTACTTCTTAAGTTTTCTAGCTTATGAAAAGAAAACAGCACTTCTAAACTTCATATACCATGCTCTTGGTTTTGTATCATGCACTGAAAAACCCTTTTAGATTTCTGTAAGATTATGCAAAGGTTTATTACTGAGATTTTTTTTGCTAATTTCAGTTTGTAAAAATTTATGGGATAGACACATTCCTAAAAACCTAACGTACGTTTATTTATTAGAATGTGGTAGATGTGCTTCAGGCTGAAGAAAAGATAAGGTCTTAAATACGACCATAAAAGTAATATTTGGGTGTTTTTGCATAAGGGTTCCCCTAACACACTGGCTGTTTAATTATCTGTTTGGTTTTACTAAGGAGCCTAGAGGAGGTAATTTCCAACTGTCCATTAGAAATAAAAATCTTAGAGATTAGACTGGCCTCCTTATGTCATGAACATGTGGAAACAACCACATAAATGTATGCATTTATTAGATGTTTCTGGTGTGTACTGCTTTACTAAAAATGAATCTGGTCACCAGGCATCTGAACTGCTATTTGCTGTAACATTTGTTAGTGTGAAAAAAACTTAGGAAAAGTAGTAGCTTCTGGTGTTGTATCTTTATAGGACTAGCCCCTAGTTTGATTATGTAGTCATAATAATAATAATAATTTGCTATGATTAGTGTTCTAATTTTGAAACAATTAAAAAACCCACACCAAGTAAACACAGCATGTGTTGGTTGGAAAAACTGGTGGTAGGTAATACAACTATAAAACCTCTAAAAAGGAAAATTCTGTTACTGTGTGAAAACTACACAATGATAGGAAAGCTAATAATTTCCATTTGGGTGCTTGTTTCAGAATATTTCATAGAGCTCTGTGGCATGTGATCATGGGGACTTCACGGTCTACAACAGAAGCCTCTTAATTTTTTTTTTCCTTAAGGGGAAAGAGGGGGGGAAAAAACCCAAATGCACCACATAGTGGGCAGTGTGAATTAACCAGCATATGAAGCCTTTACAGCTTACAGCATGAAGTCTGGTCATCCTTCCCATGTTTTGTGAATCTCTGTCTTGAATTCTGACAGGCACACATGCACACACACACCATCACCCCCAGTCAGAGCTGTATGAGTGGAAAAAGGCTCTGTATGCAGTTTTTTCATGTTGTAGCATAATTTTCTCTCATGTCAGCAGGACTTAACAGCAACATTCATATAGCTTAATAAGAACTTTGAGTAGTTCAGGAGATACAGTCAGGGATTAATGTTCCTGAAAGTTGTTTTGTTGTCAGTTCTGTTGTCCATGTTGTACTGACTGTGTTCAGGAAGAATAAATTTCCTACTTGCATGATTTTTTTTCCCCCTCCCAGAAAAAAAGCAGAGGTGAGGCATTTCACAAGTGGTTTGTGTCCCTATGAGTATCTACTTAACTTTGGACAGGAGAAAACGGAAGCATGAGAACTGTACATGTGAGAAAGCACAGCTTGATCTTATGTCAGATTTGGCTACTCCAAACTTGAACTACTTTCTGGATTCTGACATGCTAGAGTAGCCTTCAAAACGTTAACCAATCCTTTGGGAATATTTCTGGGTGGCCTTCCAGTATGTACTTGCAGGAACTCTATAGAGCTCTAGCCAGCAGTGCTGGGAATCTCTTTGGCTCAGAGAAGTACTTACTCATTTCTGTTCAGAGCAGCAGAAAACCAAAGCAGAATAAAAGCCAACATCTAGGATAGGATGTGGTTTGGTTTTGGCTTGGTTTTCCATTTGAATATTTTATTCTAGAGTTTGTTTCTCAGGATAACGTGAAACAAAGTCATATCTTACAGTGACATTGGTTTTCTTGATGGAGGGTCCTGTTTGCTATTGATAAGTTGCTTATTTCTTGCCATCCCCACATTTATTACCTCTTTCATTGCCCCATGAAGCATTTGTTTGCTTTTCAGTTCTATTTCCCCATCTTTCTGTGTGCTCATTTGTCCAGCATTGTACTCAGAGTTTTTTGGTTTTTAAGGCTATTTTTTTACTTTTAAAATCTTGGCCTCCAACAGTCTTTCCTTCCATCCCTTTACACACTCTTTTCCCCTCAGGCATTTTAGCATGACTTCCAGAAGTCTTTCTTTCTGGCTTTGTAGTTTTCACACCACTTTCATGCTGTGTTCTAATTTGTTAGGTCGCTGGGTTGTTCTGTGATCTTAGTTCAGCTCTAGGCATCTTCATCCTTATTACTTTTCCTACTGCTAAATATGGGAATGCCAAATGTGATCCACAGGTCACTTAACTGTGTACAAAGCCTTTGTATGTGCTTTAAAAAGGTAGGTATCTGTTTCATAATTATGCTCAGAACCAGCTGATTGGTCTGTGGTGGCTAGAGGGCCCCTTGTGCGTGCCCCAAGGCTGAGAGAAATGCTCAGCCCCCAGGCAGCAAGCTCTATCAGACATTTAAAGGTGGCCAAGGTCTTGGTAGCCAGGAGGGCATGTAGCCAAGCTTGCCAGATGCTGGTTGTCTCCCATTGCCCTTCTTTCACCCCCCAAGGCAGAAGGAAGCTGTATTAGGAACAGGAAGATGTGCTGTTACCAGCTGGCCCCAGGGGAGCAATGGAGTTGTGCTGAATCTTGGAGGCCTGGGAATGTGAGCTGAGGCTAAGGAGCTTTTTCTCTTGCTCCTGCTGTCTGGGTGGTCCTGGCTGAGTGTTTCAGCCTCTCAGGTTGCCTTGGGTTTGGCCAGTTGCATGAGTTCCACTTGAGCAGGAATAAAGCAATGTCTCATTACTTCTGTTAGTAATAGAAATGCTCCATTACAAATGCACTCTGAGACAGTCCCAACCTGCCTGATGATATCTCTTAAGATGACATCCCAAATACTTTGGCAGCTCCAACTGCAAGTCCCATTCCACTTTGTGCCATAAAAATAGAGCCACAATGGAGACTGAGGAGTTTTTCTCCAAGTAATTGAATTCAGTGTAGAAAGGTCAGAACTTTTTCACATACAGTAGTTTCTCTCCTGTAGCCTTCAAGAGTTAGAGTAACTGTGAAAATTGCATGAAACTTTGGCTATTATTTAAATTCAACTTCTCCTGTTAAACTAGGTCTGCAAAAATCTAGGAATGGTTGCTGCCATGATGCAGAGCTGTTTAGGTTGAGCTCAGTGATCTGTGACCTCTGCTAATGCATCTGGTTTGTCACATGCATTGTCTCTGTCCAGGTGTTTGGTTAATAATTGTCCAGTTAACTTAGAGGCACCAAAGAGGAATCAAAAAGTGGTGATTTCCTTTTTCCTCCCTACTGCTAGAAATAGTTTTCTGTCTATATGTGTGACTTTTGATAAGCTGAATGTTCAGAAAACGCAGTCCCATAGTGGGATTTCCCTTTTCAATAACAACCATGTCTGGTGTGTGAAATAAAGAGCTGCATTTTGTATTAAAGACAGGTGTATCATTTGCACTTAACTAGGTTAATTTTAGCCTGGTTTAGTGACATATACTTGCCTCAGCTGAAGCTTGTGGCAGAGGGAGAACAGGCTGTACTCTACAAACTGACCTTTTGAAAAGGTAAAGCAAATAGTCATCTGAGAGAGGAGAGGTTGCTATCTAAGGAGTAGTTTAGAAAAAATTTGTTTCCTGCCCTTCTGACTCAAACCTGTTTTGGCTAAAATTTACTGTGAGCTTTCCTTCCCTTTATTTAATTTTCCAGTTTTCTCCCTATGATAATGAGCAACAGGTGCAATAAAGAAAATGTGTTTTCTTCCTGACTTAAGGAAGTTGAACTGGAACAGGGGTCCAGGAGAAGATGTTTAAAGTGTCCCTGAAAGAGCTGTTTTCTGGAAGAGTTTGGAGGTGTGCAGGAGCTGATATGGCAGGTGGGGAAAGCACTGTACAAATAAGGGGTCAGTGCTGTTGCAGTGCATTAACTGCTCCCTCATGGCTGTTTGTGTCAGTGCAGTCAGGATACCCCTCAGAGCAGCATTGTTGCTTGTAGTGAAGTCCTAGAAATCATCTGGAACTATTTCCTGGGAGCTTTAATTCCACCTGCAGCAGGAGAAAGGAAGGTTTTCTTGTTTCAGCATCAAAATGCCGTGTATTAGGCTAAAAGAGCAGCTGTAAAAGTTTGGCCTCTGCTTCTGCTTGAGATGTGCTTTATCTTTAATACTTTACTCAGAGTAAAGTGTTTATTTAGCTGAACTGGTCACTCTGAGTCATTATTGCTGATCATGCTGTTCCAACACAGCTGTGATGGCCAGCGGGCCTTTCACTTGCAAAGTGGCATTTGTGTTTGCATGGGTGTTTTTTTCTCTGTAAGTGTTACATCTATTTAAAAAGTGTCATTTCAGAGTAGTAAAAGAAGATCTTGCTGGTACTATGTGAATCTCATTCTAGCCATTCAGGGACAAGACTTAAAACTGAGCTGCTACAGTCTCCTGGTAAAAAAATAGCAGATTTCATGGTGCTTCTGATCTGGTGGAACCCCTGCATTCCTCTTTCTGGCCTTCAGCTGGACTTTTGACTGAACTCTGCAAAAACCAAACTTCACGAACTGTCTCTCCTTACATACATGTGTGCACATGTACAGTTGTTTGCTCATGCTTTCTCTTTCTCTTAATATGATAGCAACTTCAAAAAGTGAACAGACTTATTGAAAGAATGCTTTCTAGTACTGTTACAGGGTGTTTTCAGCAAGCAGGAATTTAGAGATGAGTCCTTTGTCTTTTGACTCCTTGACAAATTCTGAGCTGTTACTGTTCAGTTGTACATCCCTTTTGTAATGATTTTCTTTATGTTGTTTTAATTCCTTTTTTGTCAGCTTTAAATCTAAGTTTCATGTCTTCACAGGTTTATTTTCGGACAGTAGAACTTATTCAGGAGCCTATTCCTGGCTCACCGGGTCTGAGTTTCTACTTCAGAATCAATGGCCGACCCATTTTTATTAAGGGCTCAAACTGGATTCCAGCAGATTCTTTCCAGGACAGAGTGACCTCTGACACGTAAGCCACATTTGATGTTCTCTAAGGATAAAGGATAATGTTTTCCTCCTCCTGATTCTCTCTACACCCTTTATCAAAGGTTGGCTTTAGTGGGTAAAACTTTCAAGGTAGAACACTAATTGTTGTGGGTGGGAGGGGGAGGCTACAGAATTAGGGCTTAATTAACATGAACAGATTTGAGTGATGTTCAAGGCATGTAGGTGCAGTTGCTGGTGGGAAGGTGGTTGCTTGCAGTTCATAGTTACTGGCCTTTTGGGTATTTTTAGGGATGATCCTCAGGCTGTTTGACCCTGTCTGGACACATCCATTGGTAGTCAGAGGATGTGCACTTCATCCGTGTTCTAACTCATATCGTGCAGGGTTATGTAGGTCCATGGCAGTCTCCCCCCTTTTCCTGATCTCATCTAAGCTACTTGGATTTCAGTGCTCAGCACCACAGAGATTCAGGTGGGATAGGGGCTGTCCTGTACTTGGACTAAGCTTTGCTCTGGGGTATTGGGGAACCAGGACAGCAGAGCATGCTGCAGTGTGCATTCACATGCAATTTAGAGGCTACCAGTATGATTTAAGGAAAAATGAAGCCTAAAACCCTTAAAATGAGATTCCCAGTCTCAGTATTTCTCCTCACCCTCTTGCTCCCCTATTCTCTCTATGCATTATGGAACTCAGGAAGAGGATATACATTCCTGATTGCATTTAAAGAGAATTTGAATTCAAGTAATTGACATACAAAGCAAGTAATATCAGAGGAGAAAACACCAACAGGGTTAATAAAACATAGTATTTCTAAATTTGGTCCTGCCAAAACTGCTGTAAAAGCACTTACACATGTGTCACTCCATCTATTTTTTAAGTGTTAACAGGATCAAGCAATTTTTTTTGTGCAAAAAATTGCTTTTTGAGAGCTCTGTCCAGACATGAAGGTTTAGAAACCAGAGTATTTTGATACTTCCTGTTAGAGTTATAAGTCATAGATTGCCTACTAATGATTTAGATTTGGGTGGTTTTTTTGGTAGGGGCATTCATTTCTTCATTTTTTTGTATAACCTGAGAAATTCTTAACTAATATAGCTTCACAAAACTTGTATATCTCCTTTTTGTATTTGACAGACTAAGGCTACTCTTGAAGTCTGCAGCAGATGCTAACATGAATGCCCTTCGGGTTTGGGGAGGAGGAGTATATGAACAAGATGAATTTTACGATATTTGTGATGAAATGGGAATAATGGTAAAAACAATAAACACAGAATAATTATTTAAAAACTGACAAGAAATGAAAATCCACTTCAAATTTAAAAAAAGAGAATTAATACATAAGTTCTAACCATCTTTCCAAAGGATACTGTAGAGTATCAACACAAGAGGTCAGATTAACCTGAATTTTTGGTTGACTGGTTGGGGTTCTTTAATTTCTTTGTAATTTTAATGGTTTCTGATTGCAGAGGCTGTCTGAATCTGGAAGTGATATTTTGGAGACTTTATTGTAGAAGGTCACCATTAGGTAGAAGGTGGCTATGCTCTTCTCAGCTTTGGAAATGGATTTTATTTATTTTAAAAGTATTTTCTTCTTTTTAGCAATAGCTGAAAAGGGTTGGGTAGTTTTGGTTCAAACTTCTCATTTTGTCCAAAGACAAACATGGAAGGCATTATCCAAGGGGCCATTTTGAACAAGTTATAATTGAATATAAGTGTTGCTGTAAGGTGAACACCTGCTGCAATCACTAATCCTAGATGAGTACCTTTGATTATATAAGCTTGGAGGCATGTATTAATAAGTTTTGATGAAGTAGTGACTAGATGAATGAAGGCCAAGTTGCATCTGGTATTAAAAATCCTGACAAGTGTGTTTGGTCTTAGTCTACACCATAAGAAGTAGGGAAACAGAATTCATACCTTGCTGCTTTCAGATGGGTGTGCTTGCAAAAAAAAAAAAAGTTACATCTATTTTAGTGATCTGAATGAGTGTCCTGATTTTCAAGGCTTCTGAGCACTTACAGTTCTTCAATTTTTGACACTAGGCTCCTTAAGTAGGCCACATAGATCTGTGTCAGTACAGTGCTCAGTGCAAGATTTAGATCCTATTTAACAGCCAAAATAGCAAGTAAGTGTAGAAAATCAGATTCTTTTTTGGGAGGGGCAGTGGGGGAGGCTTTTGGTTTTGTTTCTTCTGATGGTCTTGTAAAGGCTTAAAAGTGCATTGGAGTCAAACTGTGCTTAAGGAAAACCAGTGATAGCTCACTGAGAGAAATAGTGAGAAAGTTTCTTTCAATAGAGAGTTTTGACACCAACAGTCACTAAAGGATTATGAGTGATTCTGCAGCAATAGCTTTGCTTTTTCTGTACAGTGTTAGGATTGTAACAATTATTAATGGCTCCATTATCCCCCACTGTCGTATTCTTTATCTTCAGTTTCCTTAGGGAATGTATGCTGAAAAGAGCCTTGGAAAAGCATATTCTCACTGCAATGAAAATGAAATTCTATGAGGAGCTGGTCTCTGTCTCTCAATATGTAGCATGGTGTTAGAAAAGTGGAGTCTCCTACAGTCCCCTTTGGGTTAAGGTGCTCCTTCCTAGAGCTCTTTTCCTTAACATTTTAGACAGACTAGAAGGAGTCTCAAGGTTATGGCAATTTAAAAAACAAAACAGGTAAACAAGAAATCTTATCCATCTCATTGGGCTTCCGTTCCCATTTTTGTAATTCTGCTGCAAGGTACAAATGGAGTTTATTGTTCTTGAATTGAAAGGCTTGCTGTTCTCTAGGAGTATCTACTTGATCTTTCTTTGAAGAGAAAGATTACTGTGTTTTTAGAGCATCTAGTTTGTTTCTGCCCCTCTTACTGGGTAAGATTTGCTGGTTTTTAGATAATTTTGTATGGAGGTGTTTTCTTAACAAGTACACATTAAGGTCTGTTAAGTGTGCTCAGTGCCACATCAGAAGAATTACTGTCTCTTCTCATTAAGTAGTGGGGATTTGGTGTTACACCTGCAGGAATAGTAAATAAATATGAAATTGTTCTGTTCAGCTGCAAATTGCTACATGTTCATGTTTCTGATTATTCTGTTGAAAATCACAGAACTTCATCTACTGAGCAGTATTCCTCTCCTCAGTGTAGGCTGTCAGGAGCTGATTCCTAAGGGTAAATATTTTGTAACCCTGATATTGAGGATAACCACAGTGGAGTATGCACATACTTGAGCCCCATGGTCAATGTGATTTGCACAAAGGACTGTGCATCCCAATAGCCATATATTTTGCAAGTATGTAAAGTAACTTGCTGACAGTTTTCTTTAATCTTTCCTTTCCCTTATAGATTTGGCAGGATTTCATGTTTGCGTGTGCACTATATCCAACCAACCAGAATTTTTTAGAATCCGTAAGAGCGGAAGTTTCTCATCAGGTATTTTATGCATGTGTCAAAGCTCTATTTCACGTTATCTATTTTTCATTGACTGACTGTGTAAGTTAGCTTTCCAAAAAAGGTTGTTTTGAAGTTTTTGTTAGCGTGCCTTTATGTAGCAGACACAAAATGTAACCTTGCTAAATCTTATTGAACTCCTCTGACTGCTTGCAGTCAAGAAGACTGCACAGAATTTATCCTGCACACATGGCTGAGTAGAGGTCCATGGTACATACACGCATAAGACAGATGAATGCCAGAATATTAGAAATTTTCCCTTCTGAAAGTGTATATTACAAAACTTTGAGGCTGGTGGCAAATGGAGGGAATAGTGAACCATGTGGCAAAAAAAGGGAATTGTAGGCTTAGCATACGTAATAAAATATACATGTGGACTTGTAATTCAACTGGTAGTAAAGTGATTATTTAAAAAAAAAATTCATTGTTAAGATAAATAATTTTGCTTGACTTCTGAAACTGTAAGTTGTATTTCAGGTGCGACGCTTAAAATCTCATCCATCAATTATTCTGTGGAGTGGTAACAATGAAAATGAAGCAGCAATTGCAAGCAACTGGTTCTCCATACCTTATCCTGACATAGGAGTCTATATCGCAGACTATGTGACCCTTTATGTGAAGAACATACGTGAAATAGTTCTTCGTGTAAGTAATCTCAAGAAACTCTAGGAGGATATGGTTTGGCAAAAGGTTTTAGTGTTTGAGCAAGCTGGGATTTTCCTTTTTTCTTTTAATCCTTTTAAAGGGATGAAGAAGAGCGTTTTGAGAAACTGCTCTTTCCAAGATCTTCTAAATAACTCTCTAAACTCAAGAGTTATTCTCCAAATAAAAACATATTTAAAAAATTACTTGTCTTTAACATTTTATGATGTGTAAAGTAAGACCTGAAGGTGTAGTAGATCTTGCTTCTTTTTTCCTTTCTCCTTTTACTATGTCCATGAGTGCCTTCACTTCTAGTGGACAAAAATTAGCTTGCCCATTAATTAATTTATCTCAATGATCAGGTTTTCTTTATCTAATTTTGTTGAAGAATACTGTGAAAAGCATTCAACAGCCCTCAGATCTTTTAAGAGCAGTTGAAAAAATCTATAAAGATGTTATTTCTTCAGTACGTGACCGAATGTTTTTTGTTCTAAGCAGGTAAAGCAAAAGTGATGCTGAACATTGAACTCATGCTGTGTAGTCATTGTATTGATTTTGTAAACAAAATATTGGTATTCTACAGTATATGAAGGCAAAGTAAAATATTTTGATATAAAATTTAAACTGCAAGTATGCAGTCCACAAACACATGGCATCCTTAATGAAGTCTAGTGTGATTTTGCACAGGTTTTTAAAGGTTTATTTATCCTCTTAGAAGAGGAGATTGTAGATTTCTGTACTGAGCTGTGTGTAAAGGTGTGCTGTGGTGTTTTTGTGATTAGCTACATGAGTTGGGTGGCCAGTGTGTGTGTGCACCAAAGTGAGGTGTTCTGGCTTGGTACTTGTGCAGCATTGCCATCCAAGATGGACCCATTTTTATTTTAATTCCATAGAATAGCTATTCTGAGTGCAAAAAGGAACCATAGAGGGAGATAACTTCAGGTCCTGTGTAATACAGGCCAGTTGAGGAAACCTGTAACTACCAGTAGTTGGTAACTTGAAAAGACTTCTACCTTTGAGCTAAAGACTTCAAGGAATCTAGGATTTCCTACAGTAAATTGTTTCAGTTAATTATTAATTATTCACACCAAGAAAAAATGAAAGAAGATGATGTGGGAAACAGGATTGTTTCTTAAAATGGGGCAAATGTCAGAGTGCATTGCTGTGTTCGAGTCAATTGCAGTAACTTGTTACTGGTAACTACACTTGGGCCTCTATCTTACTAGAAGTTGGGTGTTGAATGAATTATACCTGCAAAAGGATTCCTTCAGTACTTTGCAGACTATTGTTAAAAGATTTAGTATTCTAAGTCTACTGAGACTATAAATAAAGGCAGCTCTGAATAATTTGAAATGTAACCCTTCTTGTAATCTCATCTATCTTAGCATGCAGAGCCAGCTAAAATGACAATAACCTGTAATGATACCATGCAAGCATTAAAAGCAGAACACCTTGGATTTGTTAGGACTAAATTTAGGTGACTGTTTAATAAGAAAGGAGAAAATCATGGCCTTGTTCCTGTAAAAACACTGCAAAAGTAATAATTTTCCATAAAGAAGTCATAGTATTCCAATATTAATGTTCCTTGAGTATATATTTCACAAGGCACACTTTAAATAGCCTTCATTAAGAATTTAGAGGCATATAAAGATAGAAAATCTCTTGATGTGAGGAGAGAATCCCTCAGAAGAGCAGAGCAAGCAGAATCATGCCCAGCTGTCCTCCAAGAACATAAGTAAGAAGCTAATTAAGTAAGTAAAGATGATGAATGTTAGGACATAAAAAGAGAATGTTCCCTAGGTGGTGGCTCAGAAATTTGGAAGAAGTATGGTTTCCCTGTCCCCAAGCCCCTCTTTTCAAAAAATAGTCTATGTATTCAGATGGTAAACGTCAATCACTTTGTAAAGGGGTTGTATTTTTGTTTTGTTTTGTTTTTTTTATATCCCAGGAAGATAAGAGTCGTCCTTTTGTGACATCCAGTCCCACCAATGGCTTGGAGTCAGTCAAAGAAGGCTGGCTCTCCCACAATCCTTATGACACCCATTATGGTGACACACACTTCTATGACTACAGCAATGACTGCTGGAACTGGACAATGTATCCTAAAACTCGTTTTGCTTCAGAGTATGGATTTCAGTCCTGGCCTTCCTTCAGTACCATTGAAAAGGTAAGGCTGGGCTTCCACACCTTGCTGTCTCCTTTGCTCTCATTTAGTGAGGGCAATGAGTCTCTTCCCAAAAAACTTCTGCATCCAAACCATAGTAATGTTTTGTTAGGCATGGTATTGCATAAGTGGGATAGAGGTGTGTGCCTGGGGAGGGCAGGGATGGAACCATTCTGTTTCCCTCCTCGGTGTTCAATATACTTACCTTGATGTTGCAAGAGGGACTTGGTTTGGATGAGAGACTATTATGAAACTGTTATTTCTGGTAGTAATTCTATTTAGTGTATAGAGGAGAGGAGAAATATGACAAAAGCTGAATTGTGCTGGATTCTAAAATGTTTTGATTTCTATGTATTAGTTTCTTTCATTTAAATAATCTGTTTCTTAATGTATTGCATGTAAGAAGATTTGGTTTTGTCTCCATTAAATTTAGACATTATAGGTTCTGTCTTATTTATCAAAGTGGAGCAGAGACATACCATGATGTTTGTCCATTTGTCCAGGGAGAGATGTTGATATTCTTGCCTGCTAGCAAAAGGAGTTCAGAATGTTTCTTTCAATTTGCTGGGCAAAGCCTATTATCTGAAGCATTATCAGAACATTAATCTGTATTAATAACAATAAAAATTATTCAATCCAGCCTAAAAGGAAACAAATTTAGATAAGATTGTTTAGAGAGAGTAATTACAACAAAAACTTGGCAATAGATAACTTAATGAGTTATGCTTTGTTGTTGTCTTTAGTTGAAAAAAGCTGGTTTATGATAATTTGTTATCAGAGACAGGTTTTGAAAATATATAGACATATTATTAGAATTTATACCCCTACTGACTTACATAACTTTTATACCTCAATGTGTTTGACTAGATTCTTCCATATTAATGTAGGGTGTTTCTGATTTACTATGAATGCAAGCAAAACTCTGAGGTCCCTTGGCCAACCCAAACCTTAGGACAGTTAAGTTAAATGCCACTGAGCCAAAAGTTGCTCTTCTGGGTTGAACGGCAATGTGTGTTTTCATTTATTTGTACAAGGAGTGTAAGCAAAGGGTGTTAGTGGTTAAAAATCTTTGCATGACTGCATGAGGCACTGTAGAAATATACCAGTGTTAAGGTTTTGGATGATATCAGTAGGCTGTAATGGATATCCTTTCCTCAATATCCTGGCTGTCATTAAATGGATATTCTACCTTTTCATACAGATACCTTATTTTTGTTTTTTTTTAAGGTTTCCTCCCCTGAGGACTGGTCCTACACAAGCAATTTTTCTCTCCATCGGCAGCACCATGAAGGTGGCAATATTCAGATGCTTCAAGAGATTGGGCGTCATTTCAAACTTCCCCAGAGCCCAGATCCTGTAAAGCAGTTCAAGGATATGATTTACCTCACTCAGGTAATAGTGATTCTTCCATAGAAGTAGCTGTCAGTACTTGTTCCATTAAATTCTGTCAGCTGTTAGAGCTGGACCTGGTCCCTTCAGGAGTGTTTCATCATACAGAAAGTTTCCATTCTGAAGAACTGGAGAGTCCAGTTTGGTTTGGAGCTAGCTTGTCTCTCTTTTATTGTAGAGAGACTCCAGTTCCCATGATAGAAGGGCTGAAATAATCAGGGAGTTACCCAGAAACTGGGAGAAAGTCTGTCTGAAAGTATGTGCTGCCTTGGTCTTTCTCCCAGCTGGGCTCACGTAGCTGGGGGAGGATGCAGGGATGTGCTGGGCTTCCATGGTACAAGATTATTCCCAGTGCTGCATGTTACTCCCTGTTCCAGGGTGGGGATGTTTTGCTCTTCATGTGGCCCTTGTAGGCTCACTGCTTTGATTCTTCCCACATGGAAAACACAAGCTTTGGAAGCAGTATTTTTTTCCCAAAGAATGTAGTTCTCTATTAATCAGAGAATTTTGTTATTGGACTCAAATATTGATATTTTAGTAAATACATTTTGAGGTTTTTCCAAATCAGAAGCATGTATTTTGCTTTTCATTCATAGTAATTCAACATCATGCTTGCTTCTTTATTTATGATTTCTGTGCAATTTTTAAAAGATGCTAAGTAACTTTCTAATGCTATTATGCAAATTGAAAGTGCTGTTAATTTTTGGTGTGTTTCAAGAATTTTGGAAACACTCTTGATAGAAGTAACTGCACACTCACTAAGTTTCTAATGTTTGAGAGCTTCTGTCAGCAGGTTTTATATAAAAGCAAAATTGCTTGAGCATTTCTGGCACTCTTGACAAGAGAAAAAGGATAGATGATGCTGTGAAATTGAAACCGGGGTAAAGCTTTCACCATGAGGTCCTGACTCAAAAAAGCTGAGAGAGTTTCTGTAAGGCCAAGTCTGTCAAGGCCTTATTAACAGGTTAAACAATTTAATACCAAAATAAGGATAGCAAAAAGGATAAAGAAAGCAAACTTGCTTTAGTGGTTAACTAGAAGTAATATCTTTACCTTTAGGGCTTTTAACTTTATTTTAAGAATTTCTTTATATTTCCCCAGCCTAATAATAAACTGTGTGAAGAACATATCAGTCTGTTTAGCACCCATTGAGAACTTGGCTAATGAAAAATTCTGAAAGGTGGTTTTTAGATGTCATGAAGAAGGAGAAAAAGAGTGGGAGTGCAACTGAAAAAAGGTTGCTTTTCTTATGCACAGTTTTGACTGTATATTGAGAATGTGAGTTGAGAGTGTTGGGATTTAGACACTAAGGTAATGTATACTGAAAGACATGCAGCTTAACATCATTTTGCAACTCAGAAGGGGGTTATTTAAACTAATGTTTAAAAAAATACTTATTTTAAATTTCATTTTATTTTCCTTGTCTTTGATTTGCCTTTCAAAGACCATTCTCACTGTATGGAAGTAGCCCCATATGAGATTCTTTGAAGGTAACTGCTTGCAAAGCTGTTGGGAGATGCTAGGAGTAGATCTCCTTTCAGCAGAGTTCCACTGCACTGCAGGTGGATACTCCTCAGGGCTCAAGTTTAAAGTTATGTGCTGTTGCTGTGAAGTCTGTGTTGTGTATCAATATATTCACACATGTTTTGAAAAAGAAGTAAAATCCAATATTCCAAAAATAATTTTTATCTCTTTGTTGACCAAGGTGATGCAGGCTCAGTGTATAAAGACAGAAACTGAATTCTATCGTTTTAGTCAAAGTGAAATAATCAATGGAGAAGGACACACCATGGGAGCTCTGTACTGGCAACTCAATGACATTTGGCAGGCACCTTCGTGGGCTTCCTTGGGTAAGTCTTGTAGCAGTCTGGTAAAAAGCACCAGCTACCAATTGTGTTTTCCTCATCTGGAAGTATCAGAATAGGAAATACAGCTCTGCTCTGTCTCTTGGGCACGTATTTTTGTCCATCCTTTAGAAGTGTGTTACAGATGAGATTTATGATGTAAAAATTGAACATCTAGATTTCTTCTCTAGTCAGCTGGGGGAGAGATGGATATCTCCAAATGTGATTCATTGTGTCCTTAACTGTCTCAGAACTGGGGTGAATTATCTTCTCCATGATGAATTTGATTTTCATAGAACTTCATAAGATATTGCTCACCCAACGTAGCTTCTGAGGAGCTTTCTTTAGGAGATCACTGGCTGAGATTTGCTGTCTAACTTGGTGTCAGATGAGGTGAATCACTCCTCATGACTAAATTTTTCTGTTAATATGCTATTTACACATATTTTTTTTCCTCTTAGGACACAAAACTAATCAGACATATAAGGAGATAAATCATTTAGACAGTAAGAAGTAGGGAAGGAATGAGGCAAGTGTGGCATGAGGGAAGTGGCTGTGTTTTATGTTCCAAACATTTTGTCTAGGAGTTGTTTTGAAATGGAGAAGCTGTCCTATGGCATCTGTAAAGGACTTGGGTGGATTCTCTTTCAATTTTAGTTATTTCTCACATATTTTGGTTTTGAAAATCTTTATTTAAGCATTTCATGTGTAAAAAAATACGAACAAACTAGAAAAAAATAAGAAAAAAAATAAGACTGTCTGTGGACAGTCTTGATGTGCCCTTGGAATAAAATGCCATTTGGCCTGGTTTTGGGAAAAAATTAGCCCATACCATCCTCCCCCTCTTTTTCTGGGAGATGTTTGTCCCCCTCCCTTTCTGTTCTTTTTATTTTTTTCTTTTTTTTGATTAATCCAAACAAAATAGCTGCAACAACAAAGCAAAAACCAGTAGAAGAAAGAGGCTAATTTATTTAAATGATAAGGCAGTGGTCCAGCTATGATGCTCATCTTTCTGGACTTTCTAGACTTGTATTAGGAAATGGAATATCACAATGTTCACTTTTATGATTCTAGCAATAAGTGATGCTTGTAGGTTTTAAGTGCCCTAAGAGAAAAAGATGCTTGGAAAAGTGTCCCTTTGTAAAGACAGGTGTATTGTAGATGTAATGGTTGTGGAGACCATAAATGTCTTTTTGAGTACAGAAATGACATCACTGTAGAGTATTTATCAAATACTTGAATTATTCATATGTTGTTGAAGTTTAGAAGAAAGAAGCTCAGCAGAGATACAGCTGTCCCTTTGTTTTGTTGTATTCCCTCAGTGAGATGAGGAAAGGTTTAATATTCATTTAATTAGGCAGTGTGGTAGAGGGATTTTGAAATGCTAATGGCTGAAATTATGCAAGACTTGGGAGAAATTAGTTTTATTTGCACTTCAAAAACATGTTTCTGCATCTTGTTAGGTGGCACAGTAGTATCACCAATGAGTGCTTTTATTTAAATCTGTTGCTTTGCAGAAAGTCATGGAGGGGTTTACATAATTTCTGGTACAAAGCAGAAATGTTTGCACGTGGTGGGGAAGGAAGAAGGTAGCAAATGTTTCTCCTTTTAACTTTTACCTTTAAAATGTTTGCTTGGGTTGAATGAAAACACAGCACAGCACTTGTGTCACAGTACTTCTGGGTTCAGCTCAGAAGTAAAAAGCTTTGATCACAACGGGGTTCTGACTGTTAGCACCTAGCTGTGAAGCTGGCTGTGCCAAGTTGGATGCTTTAGCATCTCTGCAGTATGTTTTGGTGGAGTGCTGTGACACTCCCAGACAAGTGTCACCTTGAGGTACCCAACACCGTAGTCTTGAGATTGCCTTGAGCAGGTAACTGGCTTTTATTGCAGGTTCAATATTCAGAGGCCCTGGTGAGCCCCGGTACAGGCTGTTCTGAAGAATAATTGATCTGAATTCATGAGGCTGAGGTGAGGAAAGAACTAGCAGCATGTTTCTCAGGTTGCATTTAATGGTGTGAAGTGATTAATTTAAAATCATTTCAGGGAGATCTGTTTATTTGCACTCCTGCCATCAGCGTAGAAGGCTTCAGGGAAGAGTCAGAAAAAAGGGTATTGGGGTCTCATTACAAACCTGATTCTGATTTCCTGTTCTGAAGTTTAATACCACACAGAGTGCAATTCCCTTGTTATTGTCAAGAAAAATTGAAGAACTTGGATTTCTGTAAGAATTTCTTTAAATGTGGGAGGAGAAGAAAACCACCCCAGGGCTGTTTTAAATAACTTTTGGCTGTTGCCTTTGGGCATGCATGTCTGTAATAGGAAAGTTTAAACCCAGAGGTTTCTCATGATAACTTCCTGACCTCCAGATTTTTTACATCCATTTTTGGGTGTGTGTTCGTGGTGTATTTGAAATGCAACTTGCCTGTTTTTAAAGAAAGGAATGTAGTTCTGGTCCTATGGAAATCAAGACAACAGAAGAACTGAAAAATACGAGCTTTTAAATTAGCTTCAATTTTCCTTGCTGTCTGAAGTTACTTTGACAAATGTATTATTAAGATCCTGTTGCTGGAAAAGTTGTCTTTGGAAAACACTTCCTGTGTGAAACTGCTGCAGCAGTTGAGTTTTGGTTTTTTAAAATGGCTCTAGTTTTTTTTGGAAAGGGAAATACCAGTATTCAAAGCTGATTTGAGTTAAGCAGACTAATGATGTTTCAAACATTCCAAAGCAATGGGTGTCAAAGTAGTAGAGTAGGTTTTGAAATGGTGCAAACTTTAAAGTGTGTGGTTTGTTTGATTTTGTTTCTTGGCTGGGGATTTTGTTTGCTTGGGTTTTCCTGTGGAAATCTGATGCCATGTTCACTCTGAGTGTGTTGTCTTCACTGTAAAGGTTTTTGAGGATCTCTGCTGCCTTGGTAGCAAACCTCCTCTCTTTCCCTCTACAGTGTGGCTGTGTAATCCAGCTGGAAATCAAGGCACAGCAGAGGTTCAGAAGGACACATTCAAAAAAAACCAGGATTTTATATTACACTAAGTAGCAGAAACTGCTCTACATTAATTGCATTTTTCATTTCCATATATAAGACAGCTGAAGCCTAGATTTTCATTATGTGAGTTAAGCTCAGGAAAAAAATTCAAGTCAACAGGCACTGAAACCCCAGACCACGCTGGGTAACTTGTCTAAGCTTGTGGTGGCCTTTGCCTGGATTCTGCAGTTAGCAACATCTATTGCATTGGCAATTTAATTAATTTACAATTGAAATTCCAGGAAGTCTTGTAGCAGTCCTGAGGGCTTTAGAGATTTCAACCCCTCCCAGACTCTCCCTGCCCATTTCTCATACAAGGCCCATAGCTTTTGTTTGTTGGATCAGATACTGCCGCCCTGTTTACTCTGTTTCAGATAATCCATCCCCAGTTTGAATCTCCCATCTTCTCAAGTTTAATGACTGAAGAGTAATTTGTTAGCACCCCCTATTTTTGGTACTTTTGTTATTTAAACCACCAGTGTTTTCTGTCAGGAAGTGTCCTTGGAGTAAGAGAACATGCCTTTGTTCGTATCACCAGGGGATCAGACCCAGCCAGCACAGGTTTTTGAAAGGCAGGTCCTGCTTGACCAACCTGATCTCCTTCTATGGCAAGCTGATGCAGTTGGTGGATGAGGAGAGGCTGTCGTGTTGTCTGCCTAGACTTTAGTAAAGACTTAGTGCCATTTCCCACAACATTCTCCTGGAGAAACTGGCTGCTCATGATATGGATGGGTGCACTGTTCACCACGAAAACAAACTGGCTGGAAGGCCAGGCCAGGTGTGGTGGTGAATGGATTCTCACCCAGCTGACTGCAGGTCGCTACTGGGATTTTGCAGGGGCTCAGTACTGGAGCCAGCTTAATGTCTTTATCAAGGATCTGACCAAGGGGTTCAAGTGCTCCCTCAGCCAGTGTGCAATCAACACCTAGTTGGGAGGGAGTGGCAGTAAGGCTCTGCAGGAATATCTGGACAGGCTGGATTGATGGGCTGAGGCCAGTTTTATGAGGTTCAACAAGGCCAAGTGCCGAGTCCTGCACGTGGGTCGCAGCAACCCCAGGCAGTGCCACAGGCAGGGACAGAGTGGCTGGGAAGCTGCCCAGTGGAAAAGGACCTGGGGGTGCTGGTGACAGCAGCTGAACTTGGGCCAGGGTGTGCCCAGGTGGTCAGGAAGGCCAAGGGCATCCTGGCCTGTGTCTGCAGCCAGAAAGAGTAGGGAAGGGATTTGACCCTCTGTACTCAGCACTGTTGAGGCTGCACCTCAAATTCTGTGTTCAGTTCTGAGCCCCTCACTACAAGAATGGCATTGAGGTGCTGGAGCATGTCCAGAGAAGGGCAATGGAGCAGGGGAAAGGGTCTGGAGCACCAGGCTTGTGGAAAGTAGCTGAGGGAGCTGGGGGTGTTTAGCCTGGAGGAAAGGAGGCTGGGACACACAAACACACACACCCCCACATACCCCTTATCGATCTCTCCAGCTACCTGAATTGAGGTCATAGCAAGGTGAGGGTCAGCCCCTTTTCTTCATTAACAAGTGACAGAATAAGAGGAAATGGCATCAAGTTGTGCCAGTGCAGGTTTAAATTGGGTCGTAGGAAAAAATTCTTCACTGAAGGTGTTGTCAAACATTGGATCAGGCTGCCCAGGGAAGTGATGGAATCACCATCCCTAGAGGTATTTACAAGATATACAGGTATGGCATGAGAACTTAGGGACGTGGTTCAATGGTGCACTTGGCAGGTGAACAGTTGAATTTGATCCTAGAGATCTTTCCCATCATAAATAGTTCTGTAGTTCTATACTGAGAAGCACCAATATACTGAGTATGTTCAGTTTATTGACTGTCTGTTTTGAAGAAATGCAGCTGCTTCTCCTGAAGTTTTCCTCCAGCCTTATCTCTTTGGTTTGCTTCAGTGCAATTAACTTGAATGCCAGTGGTGTTTTTGCTGGCAACAGACTGATCTCATAGCACAGTTCAATCTTGTGTGGGTTTTCCAGGCAGATATGAACTCTTGTTTTCCAAGCTAGCTGGCTGTGAACTTGCTGAGAACAAGGTGATGTGTAAGGTGCTAAGCTGGAGCTAATGCACTTACTCTTCACAAAGTTCATTCAGGTCTATGTGGAGTGCAGACAAAGCATGTTCAAGTCCCCCTGGGAAAGCCACAGCAACCCTTTTAAGACTATGCTGGATAAGTCTTTAATTAGGAGATGTTTGAGAGTGCTAAGAGCTTTGTACAAGAACCAAAACTAAGAGATTACTAAGAGTTACAACAAACACATCTCACTGAAAATATTCTTCATACATCATAAAGCATACATCGGTTTTAAACTTGTATAAAGTAAAGACCCAGAAACAAGAATGAAACCTGTATCTAACTTTTCTTTCCTTGTGAGATGGTGCAGCTGACTTGCTACTTCTTTTTAGTGCTATTTCAGTGACTGGATAATGGCTGAGCAAGGACAAACTTAAAATGCAGATAGTGGGTACTAGATGGAATGTTAATAGAGGAAGAAATGGATGCAACTTCTCTTTCAAAATGGTTACATGGCAGTGTTGCAAAGCAAGAAACAAAAGTGCTTTTTTTTGGAGAGGATGCAGAGTTTTATGGCTTTTCCAGTTTAATGGCAGATTTTCAAAGTATTAAAGTAATGAGGTACAGCTTTCCATTAAAGGAGCAGTGTGAACTGTTTGTCATGTGTCTGTCATGAATACTAACTCCCATGGAAGGGGTGGTGTCTCTAGCTCCTGGCAAATTTGTTTTGCCAAGCTCACAGTTGTCTTTGGTTTGGGAACTTATTTTTGTCTTTATTGTTACTGATGTCCTCTAAGGAAGAACTGAAAGGAGGACTGAAAAAAGGGAAGAGAGCACTTTGTATAAGTGCCTTTTGTCTTTTTATAGTAGTGATAGTCTATGGCAGTACCAGTGTGTTTGTCTGGATTCTCAACAGCACAGATGCTCTAGCTGCTTGGTTTATGTGGGATATGCTGTGTCAGCCTTGTCACTTGTGTTCAAGGCTTCCTTTAACTGAATGACAGTGTAGCAGTGACAGGACAGAGACAGAGAAAAATGTAAACTTTTGGGAAAGCTCATAGCTTGAAAGAGCATCAGATCTTTTCCAGGGCAGAGCCTTTCCTGGAAGGAAGCAAGAGTACCTTCAGTCATTCTTTGCACTTGATAGAGATGAAAAAGGATGGAGGGGGATGTTGCATTGCCAATAGCAGGACCAGAAAGCACATACAGGGAATGTGTGATAAGGCAATCTTGGATTCAGTTTCAATCTTTATTCTTTTCAACCATTTTTAGAGTATGGTGGTAAGTGGAAACTGCTCCATTATTTTGCCCAGAACTTCTTTGCACCACTGCTGCCTGTGGCCTATGAAGACAAAGGGATGTTGCACATTTATGGTGTCTCAGATCTTCATGAGGACCACAAGGTGACTTTGAGGGTAAGTGGCACCTACCTCACCACTCCTGTGTGCCTCCTACAAAAATGTGAGAAGCTGAAACAAGCACGTCTTTGTACAGACAAGCTTCAGAAAGGCCATGCTCAAACACTGTGAGATGCAACTCTAGTCTTTAATCTTAGGGGCAACACTATTCTTTATTAAAGTAGTGTGTAGTGCTTCACAGAAGAAGGAATTGCTTTGCTTGTAGCCTTATAGGTATAAGGCTGAAATGAACTATTCTGTGGAAATATTAAAGGGATTGATGGTTAAATAGAACAAAGTGTGAAAAATGGTACCTCACTACTTAACAAAACTCTTCCCTGGTGTTAGAACTAGATAACCTGATTAAGTAGAGGGGAAAAAAGGGATCGTACCATTGCTTACCAGTACTCAAACTATACAGCGTTGGGAAAAAGGACTGGATTATCTTCTGAAATGTGAACAGCACATCTTTAATTGGAAGGTCACCTATGCATGGCACCACTTTGCAATTGATGCCTTAACTGTTCTCTGATAATGCTATAGAAACTGATAGGGTTTTTAAGTCAGTATTTGGACTGCTGTGTTTTCTTGTAGAAAACAGTCTTCCTTTTCAGCTTGTTACATTTTGTTGCTGTTAATCATATGGCAGCCAGACCCCAGATGAATTTAGGGACCGTCTTCCACTATGAGATACAGCTCCTGACATAAAATATATCCCATGTGAAAACAGTTTGAAGGATGGAAAAACAGACCTTGAGACCTGGAATGACTCACTAGTAGTATGAGTATATCAGCTCCTAGATCATTGCTCTGTCTGGTGGGCTTCCATGAATTTTCAGATTTATAAGGTTGCTTATATGGAGTAAAATATGCTACAGAATATGGTTGCAATTTCTGGATAGTCAGTTCTTGGAGTAGGACTGCACTTAATGAAATTGTTCATTTCTGTTCAGAGTTATTCTAACAGACATAAATTCAGATTTTCTGATAGCATCAGAGAAGTGTTGGCAGTAGAATAGTTCTGATGAATACTGTATATTGCACTTCAAGAAGATTTGGAACTTAACTCTTGAAAGGAGTTAAGATCTATTCCTGACTGCATACTCCTGTTAAGGCAAAAAATAACCAAAAATTTATGAAACAGAATGTTTTAATTCTCATTAAGTACTTAATTTCCAAATTATGCCCTTTTAAAAAGGGTATATTCATAATGCACGGAAGATATCTGGGAATGTATTTTGCTGTATTAATATACCCTTCATAATCCTTTTTAAGATGATAGAACTTGCTTCTGTTTAAGAGTGATTAAGCAGAAACTCTAGTATACCCAGTTGGGTTACATCAGATAATGCTTAGCAATCTCATAAAAATCCTCTGAGTTGGTTTTTTTAATCCAGGAAGGGAGGAAAAAGAGTCAACAAATTAGTCAATAATTCCATTTCCAGCACTTCCTTGGTAGGAATTGGCAATCTCTTCCTCTCAAGGAGCCTGGAGAAAACAAAAAAGTCTTGCAGATCAAGAGCAGCTCCAGACTGAAATGGACCTCTTGTTAGGATTTTAGAATGATTTTATTTTTATACTATATCTATTGTGTAGTTTCTTGCTAGGTGGAAATCAGCTGGTGCTGTCAGAAAAACATCTATTGTAATGAGCAATCTGAAATCTAGGATACTGCATTGTTTTCAGAAATGTAGCCTTTCTTCTAAGCTTTGTGCTCTCTCAATGTGCTTAATAGGTCACAGTGCACGCCTGGAGCTCTTTGGAGCCCGTATGCACCCTTGCCAAAGAAGGTGTGACTGTTAAAGCACAGAGTGCTGTCCCCATCTACAAGGAGTCCATCTGTGACCTTCTGGGAAGATGCAGAAATTGTACCAGGGAAAGCTGTGTTATTACTTTCTGTCTCATGGGAGAAGATGGGCTCCAGAGTCCTAGGAACCATTACTTCCTTTCATCACTCAAGGATGCCGTGGGATTAGAGAAGACCCAGCTTAGTGTAAGCATCAATCATGCTAAATTACTGTATTTGGTTTTGCTAATCCTACTGGTTTGGGTTGTTTGCCGGCTGTGCAGTGTCTGATTCCACTGAATGTTCTTTCTCCTTGGTTATTGCTATTCTGGCTTCCAGGTTGAGTTCAAAATTAGATTTTTTTCCGGTGTCACTATATGTGTATCCAAATAAGACTGCTGGGGGGGTTATTTGTTTGTTCATGGTTTTTTGTCTGGACTTTGTTTTGTTTTAAAGAATGAAATCTCCCTTTCATTTTTTTAGATTGTCTTCCCTCTTGCAGCATTGCTCCTTTCTTTCTTTTTGTCCCTAGACAGCAAATAGCATCATGGCAAGTGTTCTGGCTTGCAGACAGCACTGTATGTCAGGATGAGGTGATCCTATTCAGTTGAGTGTGGAGTGCATTATTGTCAGCAGTATTTCCTCTGGAGGTGCTCACACTCTCAGATCAGTGGAACATTGCTAACACACAACATTGCAGTATTGCATGCTCCTTTCCTCCTCTTTCAAATCCCTGCCCTCCAGTAAGGGTTCTGATTTGCATAATAGTGATTATTCTTAATAGCTGGCAAGTGTGTCAGTCTCCTAAACAGGCAAAAAACCCATTAGTGTTGTATAACATTGTTGTTTAGTCAATTTGCTGCTTTTTCCTAGATTTCTTCTGCTCCTAGCAAGCTTGCTGTATATATAGAGAGCTTGCATGCCCTGTGTGTGTGTGCACACATGTTTTATTAAACCTCACTTCTTAGCATGTACAGCTTATTGGAAAATTCCTAATCATCAGATGGGCAGGATGGGGACCTTTTGTGTTCTCACATTTGGCTTTCAAACTGCAGCATTGCTCTTTAGTGCTAAACGGAACAAGGGGGGAATAGAGGTCTAATCTCTTTGAATCTGGACCAGCATAATGGCTTTACAAAAAGAAAATGGGCCAGATTTTCTCTTCTTATCTCTTTCACAACAGCACAGCCTGCCTTCTGAGTATACAAAGAAAAGAAATCAGCCTGTTTTAATTTTTTTTTTCATCTGGTGGTACAATCTGCAGTCTGAGTCATGCTGTGGGGAGGTTTTTTGTTTATTTTGGTTTGGTTTTTTGGTTTATGGATGATATCATCAATAAGAAAAGCTCTGCAACTGGAGCATTTGTGGAAAATTTCATTCCTTTATCTTGCAGTGGTGTTGTCTTTGCAATACTAACTAATAAGGATAGCTAGCAAGGATAAATGCAAAGTGGTCATTTTAAGAAATGCAGCTGTGATTAAAAAAATGACTGTTGGGAGAAGCTGATACGTCTATACTTAGTTACTAATTAACTAACTAGGCTTTCAAATACATTGCTAATCCAAGAGCTACAGTTCCTAGCATTGCTTTTAAAAAGCCATTAGTATTTCTTCAAGAAACAGAATGTGTAGAGGATGTGTGCTTTTTCTTAAAAATTAATAGCATTGCTTTTCTTGTAAGCAGAACATGATGCCTGTACTGACTGTAATTTGTCCTCTTTTTATAGATGGTTAACTGGTATTTGAAAGTTATGTAGCATAATCTTTCATTGTGGTGAATGGGGAGTGCTGCATGAAAATGCATCCTGGCTGGGATTTAAGGTCTCTCTGAGATTTAAGTACTGATAGAACTTAATACAAAACATTTACATTTTACAATTTTTTTAATATATAACTTAAGTATAAGGGCTTCACTGCCATGATGCATTAAGATGAAATGTCTTTCTGTCTTACTGGGATTTTTACCATCTTTTGCTTTTGTGTACTTGTATTTTATATATATAATTGAAAGGCAAGCTCTTTTAGCAGATGTGAACTGGTAAGTTGAGTGAAGTGTTGGTGAAAGGACAAATCTCTTTCACTCCAGTAAGTACAGGATACCAGTACTATGTTGAACTCAGATTACCATTTACTCAGTTATTCTCATAAGGAGATGGCAAAGTGATAATACTTCTTGGCATTTTTCCACAGTGTGTAGTATTCTGTAGGAAGGCTCTAGTAACATTTGCAGTTTTTACATGATTCTTAGATATGAAGAATACTACTTTTCGTGAGATGTGATTGTTCAGCCTGTTTTACTGGTATGCAGGTCTTTCCCAGTTTGGGTGTAACTGGGGTCTTCTTTAACATGTATTTTTTTAATAATACATATTTTTTATTTCTCTTTCAGGCCTCTGTGTCCCAACAAGATGACATTTATATATTTGTTCTTCAGACCACTGCAGTTGCTCCTTTTGTTACTCTGGATGTAGGGAGTATAAAAGGCAGATTTAGTGATAATGGTTTCCTTATGACTGAAAAGAAGAAAACAGTTGTGTTTTATCCTTGGGAACCTACTACTGTTGAAGAGCTAGAAAGTTCACTAATCTTGACCTCTCTACTGGATGTTGTCTGAGAATACTTCATTTCATTCTAGATAAAGAGTGAAACAGGAGGAGAAATAAAAATTAGAAGAATTTGATTGAAGCTCTGAAGTGACGTGCACTTGGAGCTGGCTGAAGAACATACTGTGTCTTCCTGTCTCGTGAATTTTAACTGCTGGTTCATAGTAAAGATACCAACAGCAAAGCTTACATATAATATATGTGGTGTATTGAAAACACATCCATATTTTTTTCTAGTTTCACTATGCTGTGAGTGGAAATTCAGTTTAGGATAACAGCAAGGTGTATGCTGGGAGCAAGGCAGAAGGGTAGGGAGTGAAACTGGGACTGCCTCCAGCCACTCCATGGGCAGGTTGCTAAACATTTGGCTTGTCTGTCAGCCGTGGTTTGGAATGCAGCTGGGATCTTGCTGGGGTTCCACAAGGATCTCTGTCCACCCAAGCAAATATTAATTTTCTTGCAAAGCAGAATGAGCATCGCAGTAGGTGGAGTTTGAAGGAGCTCTGCCACTGATGTCCATCGCTGTTGTCAAAGCAGCACGTGGGCATTACTCAGTGGTGGTGTGGGGGGTCTGGGGCACGTGTGGGGGGAGCAGCTGTGTGTTCCACTGGAGAACTCAGACTCAGTTTGAGTTGTGATCACAGTTTTAATTAGCATGTTGGTACCTTGGTGTTAACCAAAACTGACATACTCCTGAGTGAGAGGAAAAACTTACAGATGAAAGGGAAATGATTAATGAGAGTTTCTTACAGTTGCTTTATTGAGTCACCAAAACAACTAACTGCAGTTGCATCTGGTTCAAAACAAGTCCTAGTTAAAAGAAGACATGAAAACAATCAAAATATGGGTGTGTATGTGCCAATGTTAATAGATTTTGTAAAATAGATAGGGAAAATGACATGAGTAAAACTTAACAAATGCAGGCGCTGACAAAGGAAATTAAAAAGCTGTTCTGAGAGGCATCATGGGCCAACAATACCAGAAAAATCCTTCCGTGTTTTTGGTGTCCTGGAATCAAGGTGGAATCAAAGCAACAGTAAAGTCAACATAAGGTAAGAAAGAAAAAATGTAGAGAAAATATGATTAATATGTACTGCTGCAGTGTATTAGGAAGAGGGCAAGTCTGTTGATGCCTTTCTTTTACATTGATGGAGAAATGTCTCTTCCAGCAACATCTAGATAGAATTTCAAAATGGCACTTAACAGTGTTAAATAAATAAAACTTCGGAGGAATCACTTGTTTAGAGACAATCAAGAGACCTGTATGGAGGTCAGTGATATTTGTTCATCTCAGCAAATGAGTGAAGTTTAAGATGTGTAGAAAAACTTTTGGATTGCTAGAAGCAAAACCCATTCATCAATTATTAATTTGGATAGCTGTGACCTCATCTAGCCTGTCACAATTTTTAGGCAAAATCTTGAAAGAAATGATGTGGTACATGATTAATAAGTGATGAAGTGGCTATGCAAATAAAGTCTACCAGCACAGTTATACATAACAGCATTCTATTATTTTTTTCCCTGTTGCTTTCTGCACTTACCAGATTGACATAGCAAGGTTTGGGATATTTTAAAAATTATTGCTGTATTTGAAGGTCAGGAGCTCCCTAAGGAGTAGGTCCATTCTTTCTCAATGAAAATCTTTAATTCAGCACTAGGTGCCATTGTGAAAGATTAGCAATTGCTTAAGCCAAATGCTTGAACTCAAAACAGAATTTAAAGGGGAAGGTCGACTTCCATTATTGTTTTAATCCTTAATATGTTCTTTTGGTTTCCTGGTGTTGTAGCAGGTGTGTGTTTATAGAAGCTGTTCTCTCACCGTGCAGCAGTGGCTGTAAGGTGTCCTTTGGTTAACCATTGTTACTTTGGCAGTGGCATCCTGTGCTATATTGGTTACATTGTTCTGCCTTTTTCTCAGATCCGGGCAGAGATAGGAAGGCAGCACTGACAGCCTGCACTCCTATGAACACATCCATCTTGCCAGCTGGGTGTTGTTACAGCTGCAGCAGCTGTTACCTGTATCGCCAGTTCTGTCTGATGGGGGTTTGGCAGCCGGAGCCTTAGGACAGCATTTGGCGGCTGTGGTGCTTGTCCTCAGTGTCATTACATTATTGGTGGCAGCAGCAGAGGGGACTGGCCCTGTCAGTGTTCCTTCAGGGTACTTCCTTGCAATGTCTTGTTAAGGACCAGGGAATTCTCTTGTGCTCATGGCCTTTGTTTGCTCCTGGGCCCCTCTGGGCTGTTCTCCAGTGATGGCAAAAGCAGCAGCCAGAGTGCCCCACAGCCATGACAAATGCCCTTCCAGAACAGAACTTGAGAGCAGGTTTGGGAAGAACACTGTATGGTGTTGGCTAATCTGTTGTCCTAAAACCATTCTCTGGCTGGGATTTAGCTGTGAACACATTCTGGGCTTGCAGAGGCCATTTTGAGCTTTGGAGGGCACCTGTTTGTACTTCCTGCCACACAAGGAAGACTTATTTTGCTCCAGTTTACTGGAGCATGTCCTTGGAAGCTTTTTCAAGTTCTGCATTTTCTCCAGGAAAGAAGCATGCAAATGTATCTAAAAATTACTCTCTAAGTAAGTGTTCATAGTTCTCTGTTAGTCTTTCTTGTTACCTGCTGTTTGCATACCTTGTGGTCTGGACAAATATTCTGCCTTAGAAGCACATCTTTCTCAGTACTTTTACTTCTGTTAGTTGGTTCCCTTTTGGTTTTGGAGATCTGTAGCAGAGACCTTTTCATTAACTTGAACCAGTGTCAGGAGCAGAGAGATGGGCCAATAAGTTTCTTATTTTCAGTACAGGAGAGCTGGGGTTTGAAGTTTACAAGCCAGCCTTTTTATTGCCAGAATCACTGTTTTCTTTCTTACCCACTTAGGGTACCAGGAATTCATGGTTTGAAGTTTTTAGGACAGGTTTCAATCCAAGAGTTGTGTTTACATAACCTTGCTTTCCAGTCAGATATTACAAGGTAGCAAAACAAAAGCCCCAAATTCATTCAATTAGTGTGGAAAACCAAAACTTAAATGAAAAAAGGCCATCTCTGTAAGAAGTAGTCAGGCAGCAGAGACCTATAATACCTGAACTAGTGCTCTTCTGCATTGTGCATATGGCAAGGGTGACTGGATGGCTAAAAAATTCTATAGTAGTTTGGTTTAAATGAGGCCATGGGAAACCTCTGCAGCCTTGGAAAAACATACAACAGCCTGGCTCTAAGTGGGACATCAGGCTGCTTCATAATGCTGAAAGGAGGAAATCAACTCCTTGGTCATTAACGTGTGTTGTCTTTTGCTGTAGGAATCTTTTGGAGCCAGCAAAAGTTTGGACTGACCATTGGCCATTACTCTAGAACTGCTTTATTTCAAGGCATGATCACCCAGAAACACCAGAAGCTGTGGATGGTGGGTGAGTACTGACCATAAACTAGCAAATGGGCCCCAGCATTCCTGTCACTTTACTTGGGGGAAGCAAGAAGAGTGGCTCTTTTTTCTTAAATGTGTGAAAAAAGCATTTTACTTTCCAGGCAAGGGAGAAAAGACAGTTCATACTACACTACATGTAGGTAAGATTCTTATCCTCCTGCAGTCCACAGAATCTCGGAATGTTGCCTAGATCTTCCAGTGATTTCCAAGTTTGTACATACATGCCAAGATGATGTCAGGAAATGTACAACTGTAGCAGCCAATCTAAAATCAAGGGCAGTTGAACTTTCTGAATCATTCATTTCCTATCAAATGCAGAGAACATGTGAAGAGATCTGTTGTTACAACTTCTTCTGCTTTCCACAATTTTCTGTTGTTTATTACTGCAACAGAGTAGCACAATAACAGAGCAAGCTCTATTCCTCTGCACATATAGATTAAGTTTGGAGGTTTCTCTCTATAAGCCAGGTGTAAACAGAAGTGCTCAGCAATATTTTTCTATCTCTAAAGAAAGGGGAAAAAACCAAGAAAGATTTAAGTCTTTTTTATTAAATACAATGAAACTGAGAAGCTGCCAGGCTGCTTTTTAAAGCACTTCCATACATCGGGCCTAGGGGACCTGCTGTGCATGATCACTAACCTGATAAACAGCTATTATGCAACATCTGGTCACAAAGTGCTTTAAGGAAATACAGATCCAGGTGTCTCCTGGTGGTTTAAAAGCAGAGCTGGTCAGAACTAAAGCTAAAAGGTGTGCATAACAGCCAGGGTGCCCTGGTGATCTGCAGCATTGTAGAAACCTCAGTAAAAATCTCTGCCAGCCCCCTGAGCTGTGCTGGAAATTCTTTGGAAGCAGAAGGTGTGTTTTACTTGAACAGCAGCTCTCCCGGGGCCCAAAAAGCCCCTCCACTCCTGGAAATATAAAAACCTTTGCCTGTTTCTATTAGAGCTGGAATACAAAGAGAACACTGGAGAAGTACATTAATTGAACAAAAATCTATATGCCTTAGACATTGCCTGGATGATTATACATACAAGAACTGAAAGAAAGAATGAATGGTACTTTTATTCATCTTCTCTGGAAGTAATTAACATTCTCAGTAATTCAGCTGGATTATAAAATAAATTCACAAGTTTTTTTTGTTACTCATCATTTAATTCATTACAGCAGCTACCACTCTAAACAACCATTTTCAAGGTTTTTTTGATTCATTTTCTCAGGAGTGACACCCAGGTTACTGAAGACTGAGCTAAGGCAAGAACCACCCTGTCACCACTCTTTCTTTGTGCCACAAAAGTTGGCTAGAGGTGACAGTGGTACAGTGCCCCTCCTGGTTTTTTTATCTTTATGAACTCTGATGTCTGTTCTGTTTAGTTGGGCCAACGTCAATAACAGGACACTCACCGTGTCTCAGAACTGATGTCAGACAAGAAGAAACACTGCTCATGAGCACAGTTACTACAGGAGATTCTAGATAGCCCAAAGGAGAGCTGTCTCATCAGAAATTTGCTGAGACACTAAATAGTTGGTTTCAGTGTAAATGATTTTCTGCTGCCATAATCATGAGAACTAAAACAAGGAAGAGGCCTTAATCTCAAAGTACAGCTGCTCAGTGGTAGCTGATGGTCCTGCTCTCCCTCCATAAAAGATACTTTAGGCTTAAGACAGGTGGCTTGCAGCATTTCATTTTAGTGCTTGGAAATCAGCATGATCTTGTATCAATGCCTAAAATAGAGATGCTAAATCTTCAATACTTCTACTTGAAAAGTAATGTAAAAATCACAGCAGGCACAGACAGGAGCATTAATTTTGGGGTTTTATTATAAAAGTAAAATAAAAATAAGCATTTAAAAAGCACGCTTTTCCAAAAAGGAACAGATATAAAAAAACCTATTTACAAGTAGGAAAATGCCAAACTTGAAAAATTTTTGAATAAGAGGCACCAAAGTTAAGTTTAAATACATTATTTGAAATATACAAGATTCTTTTAGGATTCTCTTTTTTTGCTAAGTTGTCTCTGTTGTGATTAAAGTAATGATTTTTCTTTGCCAGCTATTTTATAACCTGTTTGCATGCAACTGTGCTGCAAAAATTATGAAGAGAGCAGCTAGAAACTGTATCTTCTTATTGCTCCTGTGCTTAGCCTCTTTAGTAAGTTTGTATTATGCATTAACAACTTCTTTTTCATCTGTAAAAGAAAATCCTCACAGACCAGGGAAGTTCAGTCAGTCTTTGACAGCATCCAGACCTGTGTATTAATGCAGCAGTGGAGCCCTGGTTGTTGTAAATGGCTTGTAAATGAACACAATTGAATGTACTTGAGGAAGGAAGCAGTGGCTAGGAGTCAGATGCTGCAGTTGCCATTTGTTCAGGTTCAGGTGAGATTCTTCCAGTGCACTTTTGGTTGTGAGTTCCCTTCCCTCTGGCCAGGATGACACTGATGTAATTTGAAATGTCCCATTTCTTCCTGTAACTGCATATTGCCAACTATCACTAGTCAGCTATGTAATTGCTTTGCCCTGAGCTTTGATGTCCATAGCCCAGGGCCATTTTGCCAAGTGTTAGTGAGGACTTGCTGCTCAGAGAGTCTGAGTAGGTGAAGCTCAGCTTGCGGAAGGAGGTCTCCACACCACTGTCACACACACTTTCAGGGTCTTGGAATCTGCTAGTGTAGCGCTCACCTGAGGGACAGAGAAAAGGGAAACATCATCAGTTGTGTGGCTTGAGCAAGGTTGCTTTGAGAAAAGCCTAAGGCATATAAACCAACAGGGTCAAGCTCTTCAATAGGAAAATAGGTCTAACATGAGGTATTGTAATAGGAAAAGCTGTACTGAATGTTTCCAGGCCACCAAAGCATGTGATCTGATGTACTGCTGGCAGCGATCAGCTTGCAATTGGAGGTTGGATGGGATGAGAAGCCTGGTGCTCTACTGACACTAATGCTGTCACTGCAGTTGGGTTAGGACTCTGCCCAGCTGTGGTGATCACAGGGCAAAAGCTTCTCTGGTTCTCAGAGTCACACTCTGTGCAAGTATACAACTCCAGGATGAGGCTCCTAAAACTTCTAATTCATGTTATTTCAACTTACAGATTTCTTTTTGAGACAAACATTTGAAGAGCTTTCATCTAGTAAGTGACCCCAAAATAGGAAGAAGTCAGTAGCATTCATCACCTGTGCAGGATCCACAGAAGGAGTGCCTGACTGTAAGCTGAAACTGAAGGTACGATGTGGGATCAGTGTGACTAAACCAGTGGTGGTACCTTAAGAGTTCAGTCTTGTTCTTCTAAGCAAACATCTTAAAATAAACTGTGTGATGCCCTCCATGTTGCAGAGAGAGCAGAACCCCTCTTACCCTTCAAGATGAATCTAAAGGGGCAATATGTGTACAAGCACATTTTTGGGTGGGTGTGAAGGTTTATTCCATGACTGACCAAACAGTTTTCTATAGAGAATAAACTGGCAATGTTAGATTGGAATGGAGTGACTGTGGTGTTTCTTTTTTCTTACCAGAAATACCTACAATGTTTTTACACAGGGTGTAAGTTTCCACATTTGGCTACAGGCAGCACTACCAGTGTTTGAACAGGAAAAAACAAACATTTTTGTTACTAAACCTGGCCAGGCAATGACTGAACAGCCCTGATAGCAAACTTCTCACAATCTCTCTTAGTAGAGTTCCCTTCCCAAAACCACTGTAGAATCTCTGTCATTGAAGTTGCTCAGAACTCAACTGGACATAACATGGGCAACCTCATGTCATGTTCCACTGGCCCTGCTCTGAGCAGATAGTTGGCCAGCAGGACTCCTCGAGGTCCTGTGTAACCTAAGCCATCCCCAGTTTCTTTGCCTACAGAACACTGGGCCATTTTGGAGTGCTACACATTGTGGAAGGAGAAATTTAATACTGAAGTCTTGCCAAAAAGTTTAAGAGCCCAAAACATTTTTGTTTATCCAGCTGTGGGGGGAGGGGGGGGGGGGAGGGAGGAAGTCAAAAGCTAATGGCCTTTGTACACATCTAGAAGATAATTGCCTATATTCCCAGTACATCCAAGGCATTAACCATTAGCAAATGGCAGGTGTCTGGTTTTAGCAAAGGGCAGCAGTAGAATGAATACTGTGATGCAGGCATGCTGATTCAAGTGGTTAATTTTTCCTCTCTCTTCTATGTCTAGCAGGTATCTATGATGACAGGGGTCACACTGCAGTAAAATATATCTGAAACCAGTAAGCAGGTGAAGCAGTGTGTGTAAGAAGGTGTGCAATCCTAACAGTCCTAGATAGAGTGGGGAGGGAGTACTGAAGAAAGATCTTAAATGAAGCTGTTCATATTTTGCTGTCAGTTTTACCTGTCTCTCCATTTGTGAGCGGTGATGATAATGGAAGAGCTTTCGCTGTGCTGTCCTCCAGGGGAGGCGGTCTGTGTGAGATGGACAGTGCTTCCTGAATTATTTCTATGGCTTCTGTGTGATCCATCTGTCTCAAAGCAGCGATCAGCTCTTGAACTGTACCACCAGACACCTGAAAGAGCAGACATCAGACACTCAGCATGATCCAGGCTGGCTAAAACTGCAGGGCTGCACTGTCTCACTGTGCGGGACAACAAGGTTCTCTACGTGTATCGATGTTCTTTATAACCTGTCACAGCACATTACCTCATAGTTATCCAGCAGGGTCTTCGATGGGGAAGGACTCAACCTGAAGGCATTATTAAGTATGCCAAGACCCAGTTTTTGTGCTAGGGTGGACCAGTTTTTAGTTGGATCAGGCAATTCCAATAGTTTGTAAAGCTGCATCTTGGAATTCTCATTCAGCTCTCTCAAATGTCCTGGGGAACAGAGAAATACGTTAGTTTATTATTTATACAAAACATGCACCAGTTCATTTTTAAGCAGAAACAAAGCCAAACAGAGTTCAATCCCAGCATTTACAAATGTATTGCTGCAATACTGCAAATGTACTCCTTGTCCTTGAGACATCTTAAGGGAATCATGCTCATTGTATGAGTGAGGGGGTGGGAGGGCACATCTCTCTCAGCAGCTCAGTTACAAGCAGGGCAATGTCTTCTGCCACTACTCTTTCAGTACTCAATTACTAGAGGGATATTGTCAAGTCTTTATAGGTATTACCTTGTGTGAGTAAGTCCTCCAAAACCTCTGCTGACTCGTAGGGTTTGCCATTTAATATGTCATACACCTAAGAGAATACATTAAAGTCAGTATTTAGTAGAAATCTGGGTAGTGTCCATTAAGTCTCAGCAGTCTTGTATAAAATTCCATCTGTAAATCAGCATTTTTTTTTCTCTCCCAGGTTCAGTATGACTAAGGATACTGTACAAAACCTGTGCTAAACTTTAGGGAGAAATTTTGAGAAGTTAATCTCCCTTTATTTTAACCTGTGTCATCTGGCAACTATTTTCAAGACACAGAGGAAGTCTTGGCAGTAAATAAATGGCAGTAGCAGAGACTAGGCAAGGAGCTGCTGCCTGCTGCTGCAACCAATCTTTTAAAACAAAGCCTGGGTTAGATTTTCACCTAAGCTTGGTACCACTCCCAGCTCCAGATGAGCAAAGATGCTGACTGCTTATCCTTTACATTCACACCAAGCCACATGCACAATAATCAGCTCAGTCACTGTTTGGGTAGAACACAGGAGTGCATTTTCCCACCACACACAGGCTGCAGTTTGGAATAACACTCAGCAAAGAAACCCCTTCCAGAATGGGCCTTCAAACACAAGCTGCCCACCCAGGTAAATACTTTCCCACACTGAAGACTGTAGAGCAACTGCTTCAAGAACTTCCTGGTCATTTCTGTTCAGCAGCCTTAGTTCAGTGGAGCTTTCTTCCAGTGCTGTTTCATCAGGGGAGTTTTATGGCTGAATTAGCTTAATTTTTGATGGCAAATTCATCAAATTAATTGCAATAATTTTGGATGCAATGAAAGGAGCTGGCTGAGAGAGCTGAACTATCCTTTATAATTAGAAAAAAACAAAAAACTAAAAGAGAAAACAGACCACATACCTCAGAGGTGGCTGCCATATCCAGTGGTGTTGTTCCAGGCACAATCCCTTCATCATCATCATCATCTTTCACATAGTCTAGATCAAACAATGGCTCAAAGTTCTCAATGTGAGGATTGGCACCTGAAAAACAAGGAGGGGGGTGGGAAAGGGGCTTCAAGTTGCTTCTCAATAATATTTAAAATAAGTCTTCTATGTACTGAATGGCAAATCAGCTGATTTACTCCAGGTGAATGATATTTTATATTAAGCTAGGAAGTAGCTCTTTTTTTCAGTTACATTTAGATACTGTCACATCTCTGTACAATGCTGCTCTCCGTTATAAAGAGGGAAAAAAACTGATAAGCTGAGCCTTAGGGCCCAGAGAAAGAGCTCTGGTTGTATCAACTGACTCCCAGTCCCTTGTTGCCTCACACAGCACAGCATGTATGTGATGAAGGGATGGTGTGGTGCTGCTTTTTAGTGTCAGAGAAAGTGGGGGTGTTTTAAAAGACCAAGCAGGCAGCCTCAGCAATGGGAGGCTTGGGTTTCTGTTTCAAAGGAGAAAAATTAGTTTTAAGTACAATTGACAAAATGTTCCAGTAAATACTCCAACCTAATTCTTCCAAAGTGACAGCAGTAGGAGACACTACAAGCTCATGCTTCAGTGATGGTATTTTCTTTTTTGGCTTTTTCTTTCTGAAGCAGTCCAACACTTATCCCAGATACATAAAAAGATCTCTTCTCTGCTTCTTCAGCTATAAAAGCTACAAAAGATACTCAAGAAACTTCCCAAAGTCCTCTTGAGAATTTTTTGGACCAACATAGTTTGCCTTTCCAGCCATTAGATGGTGCTGAAGAGTGATTAGTATAGCACCTCAGAGCAGGACTTTCTGAGGAAATTCAGACCTTCTTCCTTTTAACATCTGACTTCCTCCACACGTTTAAACAAGTTCATTCTGCTTTGCAGCCTTTTAACTTGAATTGTCACTGTGAAAGAGAAGTCTCCAGCAAGATCTATTTCCATACCTGCTGCTTTGAGAACTGCTGCCAATTTTGTGGAGCCCCTTCCAGCTGCTATGTGAAGTGGAGTTGTCCCATCATATGTAGTGCTGTCCACATCTGCATCGCCCTAAGGTTTTGTTGAATGGCAAAAAAGAAAAAAAAATCTGTACAATGCAGCTGCAGAGGCTCATGTCAGCATAAACACTGCTACTGTGCAAGTAAGCACCATTCTGTGTCTGGTAGCATAAAAACTCTAACTGTTGCCTGAAAAGGAGGAGTTAGAAAGGAACCACAACTGTCTACATGCATAGAGTGGTAGTGTGCTCCAGTGTTAGAGCAGGAGGCACAGGGTATATCTCCAAATAGGTCAGGTAGATAAAAGCCACTTTGCATCCCCTGTAAAACTTCTGCCATCTGCTTGCCCCTGGCCTTTGGTGTGGGAGTGGTGTGCACAGAATCCTGCCCTCCTGCTGCTCATCAGAACAGCCAGGCTGGTGGCACATCCATGCATGAGCACAGAGGAAAGCTACACAGCCAGCTGGGGTGTGTAGAATTAGGGATACCAGGATCAAGGTGTTATGATGAGATAAATATTTACAGATTACACAACTACATCTCTCTGCACAACTCTATACCTGTTCTACTTCACACAAAAGAAGGGATGAACTTCTTCATGGTAACTTCAGTGCCTGCCAGCCTTACTCAGGGCAAATTATACATGGCATATGCAGTCAGGTTAGGGTCACAAACTCTAAATTCCTCAACTTGAGCAAAAGCTTCACCAGCTGAACAAAACAGTAACATTATCAGTAACTTTGCCACTATACCAGTTCAAGTAATCTGGTCAATAAATAGGACCCTCCCCCCTTACTTCTGTCATTCTGAAGCATTCTAGGATTGTCAACAGCTTATAAATATGTAATTGAAAAGACCTGGAAGAAAGAAATTCTGCCTTTACCTCAAGCAAAAGGCAGCCTGCCAAGGGGATGTTCTCTTGTTCAACAGCCAAATGCAATGCAGTTCGTCCAGATTTTTGTTCCTGAGCATTGACATTAACTCCAGCAGCAATCAGCTGTTTGAGGCAGGACATGCTATTTGCCATCACCACCATGTGAATTGCACTGAGACCTACAAAACAAAACCCATCCCTCATCTGCATTAATATTGTAAAATTCAGAAATGTCACAGTAATGAGTTTCAAAGTGAGAAAACTGTAAAATGAGTTACTGTAGTTATCTGAGCAGAAATAACATATTTTGCCTGCTTATACACTAAAAGATGACCGAATCATAGAATTTTTAGGGTTGGAAATTACTTCAAAGATCATCATCAAAGTTCCACCCCACTCCTGCTGTGGGCAGGGATACCCTCCACCAGATCAAGCTGCTCAAAGACCCATCCTGGCCTTGAACCTACTTTAAGGAATGAGGCATCCGCAGCTTCTCTGGGCAACCTGTTCCAGTGTCTCATCATC